CATCAAAAGATTGCCGGTTGATACATTGTTTTCGGCTGTTTATTCCCTTTTTCTATTAATTAAGCCTGCTATTATAATGCAAAATAAATTACTCTATACTAACGTAACAAACTAGTAGATGTTTATGTCCTTTATTGTAATATTAAAAGGTAAAATTAATTCAACTATACAATAGAAAAGACAGAACGAATTAATGAATAACTATGCCCAACTACATCAATCTGTCTGATGCAAGAATACAGAGTACCTAATCGTATCTTTTAAATTTGATATAGTAACAATACTAAACTTTACTATTGTACTTAATTATCCATTTACATTTATGCTAGTAACTAAGGAAACGATAGAACAATGTCATTATCATACTATCACCATATTTTAAAAATTAAAAGTATTTAGTTGTATGATAATTATTTGGATATTCATTTTATAAAAAATTGCGGGTCACGTAGTTCCAATCATTTTGCACCTTTACCTTGACCCCAAGTATACGTATAGAATAGTATAGGTAACCTATCTTCAACTAATTGTGACAGGCTAATGTCTGAAGAATTGTATGATATTTCATTGCTTTCCAGCTTAAAAGTGATGCATATCATAATCTATGCGAATCCGAGATACTGTCACAATATGTAGAGATAGTTTTAGATAGTCTTATCGTATTAATTTTGTGTTCATTTTTTGCTGTTAAAGCATGCATTCAAATTCTGATCTTAGTGGCCTACATCTACGTATTGCTATGAGTTAAGTAAATTTCTTATTAACTGCATGCAGGATAGCTATCTTAGAAGCTTGCTTCAACATCGTAAAATAGATGCATTTCTAGATAACTTTTTCGATATTGCTCCAAGCATTTATGTAGCTTATATAATATACATAGATTTCTAGATAATTTTTAAAATCGTTCGCTCCTATTTATGTAGTTCCAACACTTAGAATGCATCTCTCTCCTGATAGATTGTTGCATGTAGATATAGTTTTAAATAATTGCTTAATATCATTATCTATACTTCAGCCTAAAAATCCAAGGCATTACGGTATAGGTTAGTTTCATCATCATTACGAGGCGCACACATTTCTTAATAATTAATTTTGAATATCGTTTAATATATTTTTGTAGCTTAATAGCTTGTTATATATCCTTATTTTGATAGATTACTTCAAGTATACAAGTTTGCAATTTCTTGACGTTGTTACAAACGCGTTTGGCTTCGTAGAATATTTATGCATCCAAATTTAGTAACTAGCTCCACTGATATATTTAACATGTGAATAATCTCATCGTGTCGTCGATAGGTATGCAGTATTTTTTAGTTTCAAAGTATGTGTATCCTTATGTCTGTGTACACGTATTTCTAATTGAAAGAGTATCCATATGCACTTATGCAGGTATCATAATCTTGAAATAATTCTCATATTAGGTATTGAGTTTCAGATATCAACTATATGGTTTGAGTTTAACTGGCCAAAATTGTTAATAAAGCTTGATGGTGCCATATGGTAAAGAATGAGAATTATAATAAAACTATAAGTGAAACGATGAGGATTAGCTCTTGAGTGAAAAATTACTGCAGCATGTAATCTATTTTACTGATATCTTTAGGTCGCGGAGTTTTTTTTGACTAATATCGTAGTGTACGGCAAAGGCCCATTTCCAAGTGTATAACTCTATTTACATCTTGCTTTTAATTGCACAGTATAAAGAAAATTTAGAAAGCAGGCTACCGTTACAACTCTTTATGAGAGTCTCAAAAGGATAAATCTGACCGATGCTGGTAGTATGGTTGATGATAGTTAAATCTATTCTATAGTATTAGTTAGCTAGGGTATTGATTAAGATTTAAAGAAAAGTTTAAAGTAACTCTAGGCCCTAAGAAATATTGACTATAATCCGATAGCTTGATTTCATTTGCACCAGCAATCAAGTTATCTGGTTAGATACACCTAGTATGCGTATCTAAGATCGATATGATCTAGCAGCATAACTTACAGCTTCGACTATGATAGTGAAATAACAGTGCCTCAGTAAATTTTGCGCTTCCTGCAGGATAAGTTGGAGATGTTGAATTATATCATTAGTAATAAGCTAGTAAGAAATGTAAAGCATGAGGCTTTATACCGACCTTAGGACTAACCTCAGCGATGTGAAATAGGCCGATCAGAGGAATCATTTTTACATTGCTGTACCTCTAGTATTGCACAACAAGGAATAAAAATCGGATCAACAGTAATATCCGACTCCTACAATTTTGATAGACTTTTATAGTATTTTGGTACTGTTGATACCATGAGAGTATCAATTCGTCGCCATTCAATCATAGTGGAAAATCAATGAAAATGGGTTGTCCAAAGCTTATTGAGTGGTCACTTTTCTACCTATTGTAGTTATAGAGCAGACATCAGCAAGAGCTGGGTCGTATAAGCACATTGCCTATTGCTTTGTTGCAATCTTGACTTTAAAACTATGAAACTGTAGGAATTGGATATTACTATTGATCCCCCAAATCGAGTCGTTTTGATCAAACAACAGGAAGGTCGAAGGCGAGTGCTCGGATTAGCGGAAAGGGCTTTTACTTTTGCCCATAATTGCATTTACAATTTACAATTTATGAGGCTTTCTAAACACCTTGCAGCAACCAATGCGCGATTTAACTCTTGCTTTGTTGCAATCTTGACTTTAAAACTATGAAAACTGTAGGAATTGCATATTACTATTGATCCCCCAAATCGAGTCGTTTCGATCAAACAACAGGAAGGTCGAAGGCGAGTGCTCGGATTAGCGGAAAGGGCTTCTATTTTGCCCGTAATTGCATTTACAATTGATGAGGCTTTCTAAACACCTTGCAAAGCGAATGCATGATTCAACTCTTGCTTTGTTGCAATCTTGACTTTAAAACTATGAAAACTGTAGGAATTGCATATTACTATTGATCCCCCAAATCGAGTCGTTTCGATCAAACAACAGGAAGGTCGAAGGCGAGTGCTCGGATTAGCGGAAAGGGCTTCTATTTTTGCCCAGAATTGCATTTACAATTGATGAGGCTTTATAAACACTTTGCAACAGCCAATGCGTGATCTAACTCTTGCTTTGTTGCAATCTTGACTTCAAAACTATGAAAACTGTAGGAATTGGATATTACTATTGATCCCCCAAATCGAGTCGTTTCGATCAAACAACAGGAAGGTCGAAGCCGAGTGGTTGGATTAGCGGAAAGGGCTTCTATTTTGCTCAGAATTGCATTTACAATTGATGAGGCTTTTTAAACACCTTGCAAAGCGAATGCATGATTCAACTCTTGCTTTGTTGCAATCTTGACTTTAAAGCTATGAAAACTGTAGGAATTGGATATTGCTATTGATCCCCCAAATCGAGTCGTTTCGATCAAACAACAGGAAGGTCGAAGGCGAGTGCTCGGATTAGCGGAAAGGGCTTCTATTTTTGCCCAGAATTGCATTTACAATTGATGAGGCTTTCTAAACACCTTGCAACAGCCAATGCGTGATCTAACTCTTGCTTTGTTGCAATCTTGACTTTAAAACTATGAAAACTGTAGGAATTGGATATTACTATTGATCCCCCAAATCGAGTCGTTTCGATCAAACAACAGGAAGGTCGAAGCCGAGTGCTCGGATTAGCGGAAAGGGCTTCTATTTTGCCCGTAATCGCATTTACAATTGATGAGGCTTTCTAAACACCTTGCAAAGCGAATGCATGATTCAACTCTTGCTTTGTTGCAATCTTGACTTTAAAACTATGAAAACTATAGGAATTGCATATTACTATTGATCCCCAAATCGAGTCGTTTCGATCAAACAACAGGAAGGTCGAAGCCGAGTGCTCGGATTAGCGGAAAGGGCTTCTATTTTGCCCGTAATCGCATTTACAATTGATGAGGCTTTCTAAACACCTTGCAAAGCGAATGCATGATTCAACTCTTGCTTTGTTGCAATCTTGACTTTAAAACTATGAAAACTGTAGGAATTGGATATTACTATTGATCCCCAAATCGAGTCGTTTCGATCAAACAACAGGAAGGTCGAAGCCGAGTGGTTGGATTAGCGGAAAGGGCTTCTATTTTGCCCGTAATTGCATTTACAATTGATGAGGCTTTCTAAAACACCTTGCAACAGCCAATGCGTGATCTAGACCTGAGTCTAGTAACCTTCGCAATCTGGAAACGGGACAATCGGTCTGGAAAAATATTCAGTACAGTGCACAGTGTACAGTGTACAGTGTACAGTACAGTACCGTACCGTAACAGGAGTCCATAGTACTGCAAACTCTAGTAAATGGAGTCAGACGATTATGGAGGTATCCAATGGATACATAGGTTCTATATAGAGAAGTAGGTGGTGTATGAGTAGTTATCGATACAGCCAACGTAGCGCTACAGCACGATTAGTACTTAAACGGCCAACTACAGCGAGCCCGTTAGCACTAGTTGAAAGGGCAGTAGAAGGTTGCCACTTGTCAAGTCATTCATTTCTTTCTGAGGGAAGATATCCATCACTACTTCTGGCAGGATAAATTGTTATAACTCATCCTTTCCTAGCAAGTTGTAGACGAATTGTGGTAAGAGAAAATTGCACAGAATATCCTGGAATGTTCTGGTTGAATGAAGGGAAAATTTGATATATAATTTCCATTTTTGTTCCTTTTGATCGATTCATCGTTGTGATGCTAATCGATAAATGGACTACATCATAGTGCAGAAATTATGCGAGATGATCTAAAATCGACTTACTGTACAAGGCATGCATTGCCTACAGCCTCTATCCAATAATATATATATAGAATCGACTGTGTTTGTTAAAAGTATGCTTGCAGACTGCAATATTTTCTCAACGAGTACCATGTACAGTCAAGCCAAGACTGTTTAAGATAGCAGTCTCTCTCTCTCTTGAGTGATTCGAAAGTATCGTACTCTTCCACTACAGTATCTCAACATATCGCGTTATGGTCTTTTAATTTTTCCTCAAAATATTTTCCATAGATAATTATGTCTTCCGATAAAGAATACTATGAAATACTTCATGTTGAAAAGACTGCCTCCGCAGAAGCAATCAAGAAAGCGTAAGTACTATCCATGCAGAGGAAAGCTTGTCCATAGTAGCATTTGGCTACTGATAGAATGCTGTGCAAATGAACGTTACTTAAATTGACTATCGTAACTACGGTACTTCAAACTACTGCGTGACAACGAGTTATACTGAAAGATTATTTTTTTTTTCTACCGGAATTTATTAAATCATTAAATTTACTTTAAATTGCATTTCCTAAGCTATATCCATGAATAGTGCTTTCATTTTGAGCGCATTGACATGTCTTTTACTTTCAAGTCAATAATGAGCATGAACTATTCACCGTATGCATTGCCGCTCTCGCTGTCGAGAGCAATATGAATCGAAAAAAGACAACTTGACGATATTGTGAGCCTGCATTGGTTGTTATGAAATTAAGCGAAACTTGTAAAAGACCATGCAAGCGATATATGTTATCCGATAATACCTATTTTCTAAAAAAAAGCTATGATTCAGCCTTTTTGAGAAATGATGACGATGGAGTTGATGCGATAGTTTTAGCCTTCACAGTACGTGTAAAGTGGCTGGTTTTGGATATCAATTTTACAATAGTCGACTTTTGGCTTTGAAGAAACTGGACTTTTAATACAGCCACACAACAGTTCAATGTAATCATTACTGTGCCATAGGGTTACTGAGCTAGAATAAACTGTAGTTTGTAGCGACCATTGAAAGTGTGATTGTCTTGAAATGCATACATGTACCTTCATTAAATTATAAGATTGAACAACTGTCCTAATCACTATATCTGGTTAGGATATTATGCTAGCAAGCTATTCATGGGTAATATTTTAGAAGGCTCTTTCTCTCAAAATACGCGTTGACGCTGAGAGTTGGATTCAAGCAAGTGTTTAATGCAAGATATACCTATTGACAGAGTACGTACAATCTTGCTGACAAGCAATTTACCTGCAGCCAATAAAGTTAGCGATTGCTTGGAGTGGCAGTAAATACTATACTGCATCCAAGACTGGTGTATAGAGATGTTTTTTGTTAACGTAACTTCACTAGAGGACATCTCTGTATCATGTCATGGACTACTAGAAGACGGTCTGGCCTATACGCGCATATTAAATCTCTTCCTGGTACTTCGTCCTGATGATGGCCTCTGACTAGCGAAGCAATGGAACTTTATGATACTAATACTAATCAGCTTGCAAATCGTACTGCAGCTACAATCATGCTCACTGGAGTAGTCTTTCTCTAACATTTAAGCAACCAAAACTACACAGTTTCGATAAGTATTTCCTTTTCCTTTTTCTAAATTTGCCCCTTCAATATCATGAGATTGAAAGTGATGGACGACATTTTCGAATGTTCTAGATCGATGGCTAGTCCAACACGCTAACGGACAGTACTGTACGTAAGGACGTGCTATAATGTGACATACTGTACTGTATTATACAATGGAACAATACTCGTCTCTAGTGCAGGACTATACTGTACTCAATGTTCTCGCTTTGACGCCTGTTAGTACTGCGTTGTACCTGCCGCCTGCAGTAAACGAAGATTGAATGTTATTGGAATAAATATTGCAAAACTAATTGATGAGGGCTATGTACAGTCGTATACTGTCGACTTGTACACGATAATAGACTCCTTCTTTCGTGATGCTTATGCGATCTTGACCATGTACTAGACGTGTTCGTTGTTGTTTATGAACAATAATACTGTAACCGGCAATGAATCAATTTGTAGGAGAGCTTAAGAAGAGGTTGTACAAATAATCGTAATTGCTGTGCATCGAAATAGTCGTGTAGATCGTCTGCAAGTGGTTTAAGTTGTGTCAGGCGATGCAGCAACTCCGTGGATTCAACATTAAAGTAACGTTAAATTGGATCCAATAAAAATAAATAATGGATATGTGGTATCGTACCACTGCAGCAAAGTTGACATCCTAGTGAGATACAATTCCAAAATTTGAAGTAAAATGACTCCAAATCGGTGTCCTAGAATTGCAGCTAATTTTATCATGTACAGTATACAGTACTGTAGATAAATATTGCTATCGATGAAGAGTGGACGATATCAATTTCCTCCTGATGACAATAGTTGGACGCACTACCGTACCAATTGAAATATCGACACTATGTAGACAGGATACTACGATTGATTATAATATAATCGAGCAACATACTTGTTGGCATAAAGATTAATCGGTAAACTGGTATTGATGTCGATTTTAGGTATCGGAAGCTAGCGCTAAAATGGCACCCAGATAAAAATCCTGATAACCAAAAAGAAGCTGAATTAAAATTTAAAGAAATTTCAGAAGCTTATGAAGTGTTGTCAGATTGTAAGTCAGCCTAAAATAAATTACTTGATCAATTGCCATATTTTAGTTTCTTAGAACTGTATTATGTTAGACTTCAGTAATATTCAGCGATGTTAATATTTCAATGTCATGTGTTGCCTCCAAAAAATTAGCTTATATGCAATGTAGCTAGAATGATAAATGTAGATAAAGCTTTAAATTTTTGATTAACCAATTTAAAACGATGCACTTATCTATTAGCTGAAAAGCGTGCAATGTATGATAAGTATGGAAAAGCAGGACTTCAGGGAGATTATGGTTCCTCAGGCGGCTTTGAATTTACTTTTAGCGACCCGATGGATATCTTTAGGTCTGATTCTACTAATCGTGATTTGAAAAATTCAAGCCATTGTATCATTTCTAATAGGATTACTTTCATTGGACAGATCTTTCTTCGGAGGAAGGGACCCTTTCTCGGAAATGTTTTCTTTTGGTATGAATGTCCGTTTACATGGCTATTACGCACATACTGTATATTAAATTAGAACACCCTTGATAGCACGTACAGCTTAGAGTCTACCATTTCACTTTATTCAGCGGGGAGAAAAAATTGCATACATTTTTCGCCCGTATTGTGCGTGTAGTCTACTACATAGTTCCTAGTTTTATTGTTGTGACTGGAACTACCTTAATTACAGTAATGCATACATTATTTTATAGTATGAGGGATATCACTGTAAGGTAACGAATTCTGCTGATTACTTGTACTTATACGAGTAGAAGGGCCCCCTAAACTTTTCAAGACTTGATAAAAAAAAATGATAAGCGATTAATGTAGCAAAATATGTAGAATAGGAAGAAAAAACAGAACATACTATTGCAAATAGAACATTTGATAATTTTCTTATAATCAAAGTTGATTCTTCTTAATTTTATGATTTGAGATAAAATTGCAGTATGTTGATTGGATTGAAATTAAAAGTAGAAATTATACGCAATAATTGAATAGATCCTTTTAACGAGGGACGTGGAACGAAGCGACCTGGTGAGAGATCACAGAATAACAGTTTCTTCAATGATTTTGGCTTTGGTGGTTTCTCGTCGTTTGGTAACTTTAGTAACATGGGTGCCGGAGGTGGCGGTTTCACTTCTTTTTCGTCAATGTCGTCATCCTTTGGAGGTGGACCGAATGTCAAGTCTACTAGTACATCAACTGTCATCGTTAATGGTAAAAAGAAGACCACAAAAAAGTATGATCCTACGATTACTTGATAGAACTGGAGTAATATTAACGTGTTTACACATATTTTAAGATATTGATCGTTGTTGATTACTAGGTTATATTTACTTGTACGAATTTTTGATCTATAACAAGGTAGTATAAATCAATATTTTATCTTGTAGAGTAATTGAGAATGGCGTCGAAACTGTCACCGTACATGAAGATGGAATACTAACGTCGAAAACGGTCAATGGGACGCCGCAACTTGAAGATAATAATACCTATCAACGTATAAAGTACGCCTGATTTCACTTCTGGTGCCACTATCGATGTAACTACGTATTAGTTCATAAATAAGGCAAGGAGGATATTTGATTGTGAGTCCAGTGATAACTTGTTATCCTGCACAAGATCCTATTTTCATTAGAGATTCAAATCATTAACACTTTATCCAATTAGTCATAAAATTCTTACGTTTGGTAATTTTGAGTAATGTTAAAAATGACTAAATATGGACTGCACATCATACATCTTGATTTATTAACGATTTATACGTGTATATATAATTCAGAATAGATTGATTGGATTGTACGCCGGCAGGTTTTGTCCTGTTACAAGGGTACAAAATTTTGTTACTAACTAGAGTATAGACGAGATAAAACGGAACATCTTGATATAAAACTGGAACTACAAAACTACAGAATTTTATGTAAAACAGACTATTCACGCAGGAGATGTGTGTTGCCAAGTACAGCGTCATCGGTAACCGTACGTAATTTTTGATTGCCAATGATTTAACGCATGATTAAATACTCTAAGTTTATGAGACTGTATATTATTACTGTAGAGATGCGTAAAGTAGTGTTGATGTAAATTGCTTTAGAACTAATAATTTCCTAAATAATTAGCATCTCAAAGCCGCCCTTGCCGGTTTATTAACAGTAGCTTGCAATATTATTTTGTAGTTGATGTCATTGTGCCTTTGCTGAATGGTTATAGTTGTATTTGCAACTTCTGTAGTTATTCGCTGTCAATAATTGTATCTTTTACTGCTATAATTATTATTTATTAATTCTATAACAGTCCTTAATTTTATGCGTCCTATTTTGATTAGTGGATGATGACTACGAACAAGATTATTAAATGTGTAACATACAAGATTGGATAACATTGCATTTCCGCTATGTAGATTAAATATCATTAGGGCCTGTAATATGCAAAGCTGTAGAGTGAAGAATACTGTAAATGTGCGTTCACACTTGTGCTGTATCGGACTAAACTTGAAATTATCGGAAAAGTTACTTATAACTTTATAATAGGAGCATAGCTGACAAATTGTTTGGCTAATGTTTTTTCATCTTAAAATACGCGCATACTACAGCACAGAGTCAAGCTTACTGCACACCCGCAACGATGCATCTATAGGCAAGGGATAGAAATGCGACTATTGGGCGGGAACGGATGGCATATACTCACTCAATGCTAAACAGAATGGTGATATTTCTGTTCATGTATTGAATTGTACTGAAGGTAACAGCGAACTGTGTGCCGAAAACTTTCAACACTTATCTAGCGCGATGATCGATAACAGGTGTAGTCAGGCGCGCTATACAGTTTGTGAACTTTAGGTTCATCAATGCCCTATTCTAGTGAGTAATTATGCGCGGTAAGGAATAAATGTGAATAATAGAGAAAAGTAAGTCAGAACCGTTAAGCTATTGAGTGGGAGCTATGTATATATTACGGGCAATGTCCAGGATTGAAATTAGGTTACACAATCCAGTAGGCGGCGCATTCACAGAATGAAAGTGCTGCAGTTCATCGTTAATGTGTTGAAAGTAAACAAGTACGCAAAGTGATGACGAGCTGAGTGTTGAACGAGTCACCATTTTGGGATAGCCTTTGACTATTGTTACTGAATGCAGTTCTAGTTTATAAATGCAATCGGTCAGCAGTTCTCTAGGACTACTCGTCGTCAAGAAAGTTAGTGTACTTTCTCCCCGTCATACAGGGTGACAGCCTCATGATACAGTAGTCGATGTTAGTCCAGTACTCCTCATTTTCGCTCTTTACGTTAGTATACTTTCTCCCCGTCGTACAGGGTGACAGCCTAATGACACAGTAGTCGATGTTAGTCCAGTACTCATCATTTTCGCTCTCTACGTTTTACATTACTGTCCAATCTGATTATTTTCGATGCCTCCTCTTCTTCTTCCGTCCATAGAAGATGGCAGATTCACGGTTTTATACAGAACAGTACTAACAGTAGACTCAAGACGAGAGACCTGTCGGTGTAGTACTGTATACTGGCGTGTGGAAAAACTTTGAACTGTACTACAGTACAATGTACTGTAAACACTACAGTACATAGTACTGTGCACCAGCTTGCTTGCACTAGTCACTAGGCATCATTATTGTACTGTACTGGACTGGACGTAGTTGGAGTCCCGGCCAAGGAGAAGCTCTCCAACTGTATACGACGGATACGGTAAGGAATAAGGCTGTTATTGTGGTCAGAAATCAAGATTATTATTATTATTTTTATTTTGAAGAAGGAGATCAGGAAGCTGCATACTACCAGCCAAGTTTCGAAAGTAAGTACAGTATATTTGTTATTTTGTAACGAGTCAATGTCTTTATAAACATATCATCTTCATTCAACCCAATACATGATGGTAGCGCTGTTCGCTTTACTTTCTATCCCTTTCTTAACCTTAACCCCTTCGATCGATTATTGGAGTGTACGTAGCATTCAGCTTGATTTTACCGTCATACCGAAGTCTACGAGTAGACTGCTGCTTGTTTCAAATGTTCAACAGACAGTAGCGTGATGGATGCAATGGGATAGCTTGCCATGGTATGCGTACACGCTAGTATCGACATGGAAAACTCTCTAATAGTGAAATACTGGATGGTGTTTTTGGAAAAGCGATCATTTTCTCCTTCCAATACGACACGTCCTACAGAACACACTTCCACACTCGAAATAGGGGATAAAAACAGATCCATGTGGATAGGATTGGTAGACAACAAATGACTTTCCTACTGTCTTTCCTCATAATAGTAGCTAAACTTGAATGTCGATTATGCAATCTATGTAGTAGTCAAGTGTACAGCATAGACTACAATTGATAGTGCGATTGCAGCAGAATTGGGAGCAAATGTTGAGCACTTTTTACTGCCCATGTACAGATGTGCGATGCCACATTGTATGTACACTCGCCATACTTCTGACTCGGACCGTACTATACTATACTGTAGAGAGTAGCAGGATACCGTTCATACTACAGTAATCAGTTAATCCCCGATGGTGCTCAAAGTGTGCGCTTCGACAAAGCAAAAATGGCCGACGGATAATATAGAATTAAATCGATCGACGATCGCAAATTGCCCCTGGTTTCGATAGCTTATTGTACTGGACACATAGAATAGGATTATGTCAGTGTAATCCCATGTTTAAAATATTGGACACATTGACTAATTGATAAATTAAGCAATAGGATTGACTTGACAAGTCCAAGTCGTATTGATTCGTAGGATGGCAGTACAGTCCAGTCCAGTACTACTCACTGTCTATGGGATACTTTCGCCCCATTCTGATTACAATTAAATCGTTTTAATGAAAGCGACCGTCTACATCATTTCTCAGTCTCAGTATGTAGGGTAGGATGAGTTAAGCAAGTACATTACAGTAGCCATCATACTCTGTCATGGTAATGGGCGAATATAAAAAGATAAATGCAATGGCAATCATTTACCCTACTCCAAACTACTCATGACTACCCTAATCGATCGACTGGGAAATCCTTTGGGACATCAGATCAGACGACAAGTACCATAAAAATGGTCTAAAACCTTCTGACCTAGTCAACCATTGTTCTAATGGGGTTGTTATAAATAGATTAAGACGATAGAGAAAAAAATTTTTATTTATTGACCATTTCCAAACGAATTGAATGGAGTAGCCTAGAAAGTATTCTGATTTTACTAGGCAATGACGATCTAGTGGACTTTGCCGGATAAAAAATCAAGCCTGAATGATACAACAGATTAAAATAGCGTATCTTATTAGGGAAATGTCGCTATTGTATTACATGCTATCACAGTGAGGACACGATATGGTAATACTAATTAATTAATCATAATTTAATCTTACAACATATCCAATAAAAAAATACCTTGTATTCCATGTTGACATATCTACTATGAACACGAATAAGGCTTGTAGCTTTACATGATATAGGCTTAACAGTAGTCTATCATTGACAGTGTAAATTTGCTGTAATTGCCGCCTGTGTGTGGTACGTATTATGATTACAAGAACCAATCATTGTAATACTTGACCGTTATCATGCTGAACTCAAAGCAGTGCTTGTCTAAAAGTTGAGCAGCAGGAACAATTTATAATTTTTATCCACCATTTTTGCAAGTAGCGATTGAACGTCTTGAAATCCTCGTCTCCATACGTGATAACACGTAAAAAAACGTATCTGGAATACAGTACTGTATGATCTCGTATCTGATCATACCTACAGTATTCCATGGTCTTACCTTGCAACTACTGAAAAATATACGGGCTCTATTGATCATCAAATTAGACATGTCCTACTTTATGTCATTATTCATAGTACTCGATTAATTAATGAATTAAATTCAAAGTTAAATGCATCCTTCTTTCTAATCGATGTACGGTAATTGACTGCTCACTTGTTATCGTAATCATTTACTTTAGAACTTCCTTCTAGTGGTCTAGGGTTCGATAATCCCAACAAAAGTATACAGTATGAATACAGTAGTAGTGATGCCATTTTTTTCTCCACTCAAAATTGCCTGCATATTATTCAATGGATTGAATTCAAAGTTAAATTCATCCTTCTTTCTAATCGACATAATTTATTTTACCTACTAGTTATCGCAATCATCGACTTTGTAATTTCCTTCTAGTGGTCCATACTTTCGATAATTCCAACAAAAATATACACTATTATTATTACAGTAGTAATGATGGTGGCATGTTTTTTCTCCACTCAAAATTGTTTGCATGTAATTTTGGACGTTGACGTTAATACTGTAAATGTATGGGGATATCGTTATTGAGGTGCATTTATTACGTAGAAGTAGCCTGCAGTCTAACCCTAGATAGGCGTAATACATCTTCCTTTATGTGTATGATAATAATAATATTAACTTCCGATCTACAAACTTGACTCTCATTGGGGCTTGCGGTTGTCTACCTTCAGACGGATTCTTTCTACTGTTAAAAGAAAAAGTACGTACATGTATTATAATGTGTCACGCTGAAAGTTCGTATATGAAAATAATAATAATAATAAATATAATATGCTTTCTATTCATTCAAATTCTCTCAAAATATACCTTGAAAGGTCGTCAAGCAATAGTAACTGTCAACATATCACTAGAAATGAACGCGCTATACATGATAATACATCATCTTGTAGTATTACAAGTATACATGATTAAGATCAAAATTTTGACCTTTCACTTTTTGATTTGGTATTCTTGCGTACGACTGTTTGGTAACATTTGTTGCTCTACTGTTTTGTAATATAGTCGACAGAGCAAATTTTATTTGCAAAGTGGTTGTGTGGAGTGCTTTATTGATTCATGAATGTCATTTAGAAATCTACTACAATCAACTTCTTTGGCCGCCGTTGACAATCTTGGTCAGTATAGATCTTGCAAAAGTCCTGAATTGTAACACTGTAACTATATGAATTAGAGATAGGAAAATAATATAAAAATACAGCTACAAATAGTCGATTCTTAGAAATAGAAAAATAAAAAATACGACTACAAATAATGCGTTTTTAACCTTTTCATGGCTATTCTTCTTTCGTTATAACAGCGATATTATCATATTGTATCTGTATTGTCACGTTGTCCAGAAGGAGGAAACACACTCATTTGCTTCTTCCAAATTGAGTAAATTCAGAAATTACCTAATAAAACTCTTACCCAAGGCTTATACTCATTAAGGACTATATATCATTGTTATTTGGCTTGATATTGTCTAATTGGTATAACGGACTGTGCCACGAACTCCAATCACCTTATTCGATACTACAGTATTTTAGTAGCTAGAATTACTTACAGCACTAGTTTGGTTAAAAATAATGTCAAATATCAGCTTGGTACGAGTTATAAAGCCTATTATTTACACGAACGACGATGGGACGATAATTTCTGCTCAAGTTAATAGTATCTACAAGTTGATAAAGAAGGCAAATGATGAATGGTGGTACGTGGAATCGAAAGATGGGGGTTATTTTTACCTACCGACAGACCGTATAGAGGAATTTCGAGCCGGTATAGAGAGTGATCGACCGAAAAAAAATTCTACGGATGATGCTTCAAAAGAACAACGAATTACAAATACTGATTATGATGAGGATGTAGAATCTTTTGATGAAAAAATCCCTCGAACTTACTCTGGTAGTCAGAAAAAACGTCCAAACTGGCATAAAAATGAAGCTGAAGTAAACCCTCAGGTGAATCGTGGCCGAAAAACTAACGATGATATGCTTATAGAGAATCGTTTTCGAAGTAAAGATTATCACCAATTACGGAGTCTACACGATGATTCTGCTCGCGCGAACAGCATGAGAATTCCAAAAGCATCCAATGCACGCTCATTATCGCCTGCGGTAATTGTTTTTCTATTTCTGTATTTTAATTGTTATTGCTGAAAAGACTTTATACCATATATGCTTTATAAGCATTAAAAAATCTCGCCCTTAAATTTTGAACAGCTTGTCATAAATATACTTTGGTACTTTTTCCCGATTTGCTTTCCTTAAATGGATTGAAATATTCTGCTTGATATTTAGCTTTAATTTTCTCTCAGAAGGTTTTAATATTAATTAATTTAAAACATTAACATCATAATTACGTCATGATGCTCTAACTTTCATGTTCATAATTTCATTTACTACCTTTAATATCTTACCTATGAAGTAAGATTGTTCAATATATTCAACGAACTAGTTTAAGCTGTAATATACTTTATGTGTATTCATGGACGCTTTGCCTTTATCATTAAATTAGTTGTAACTGGGACTAATTCTTCAATATTGTGGCAACAGTATACGATGTTAGAAATAGCATTAGATGTATCAGTTTACTTCAATCGTTTTATAACAGATAATAGATAATAAATATATAATTTGTCTTGTGTATAGTACTCATATTGTACTACGTTATTTACACAATTTGTAGATGGAAGGAAGAAATACTAGATCTAAAAATATTGATCAAAGCGATCGTCATGAAAATATGCCATCTGCTGTAGATTACGAACATATTACAGATTTTAAATCCCTGGTATTACCTATAGCTACCTCTCAAACTTACGTTTCATATAAATAAGTTATGTTGTAGTCTAAAATAGGCTCTTATCATGATTATCAATATTTCACACTGCCATCATATTCTAGGCGGAAGAAGCGAAAGAAGAAACTGGGCGAAGGGATAAGAGAGAAGTTACTGATGCCAGAAATACCAAAGAACGAAGAGATAATTCTGCGGATGAGGTAGATAGTTGTTACGCTCGGATGTATTGCTTGATATGGACTGAACAATTAAATTCTACATGATATTGGTGATTGTAGTATTATTACTGTAGTACAATGTTATCTGCAAGATTAGCTGTTGCAGTTTACATGATTTTATGACGTACGAACTGCGCATCTGTCATTTATTTGTCATCAATGAGAGTTGGTATCATTTCAATATTGGCTTATTACTAATAAATGGATAATATAATTGGAATATATTAGCGTACCACAAACTCGTTGTATAAAGGATGGAAAGTCGAGATTGACTCTAGGTCTGGTAAAAAAACATTCAAAAATCCACATAATGGCGAAATTGTAGGTTTACGATACGATGATTTATTGATAAAGTATATGTCTGCGTTAATTTTATCCTTACTATAATGAAAATTTTTTTTACAGTGGTACGGTTGCCGTGATAACCAAGATAGAACCTATTACTATAACTCTGACAGATCGCAATCGAAATGGGACTTACCAGATATAAGATTACTGCAAGGAGAGCGGGTATGTAAATCTTCTATTGAAATATTACTGCTATGGTTTTAAGATTTGGATCATATTCGCTTGTTATACCGTTTGTTAAATTTTATGTAGGTCATGGTAGCACCTATAAGCAAAGAAGAACCGGACGATATCGTTGAAAATTTTGAAGAAGATGAAATATATCAAACATCGGCTGATACCCTAGTACGTTGTTTCTGTCGATGCATTACTCGTCTACTGTAGATCACTGTTTGCACCTACTCCGACAGTTGTAATTTAATAACAAAAAAATTATATTTTCTAAATTAATTAAGGCTTTGGCAAACAGTGGAATAGTTACGCGTAAGAAGTTATTGGATGTAGGGAAAGTCAGAGTCAAGTAAGCATCCTAATTTGCGTTGCTGATGTATTTGATTAGTATTATACCCGTTGAGTGAGCATTTTTGGCCTCATTTTAGAAAAATGTCATGGATTCCATTGTATGTAGAACTACGAGGATTTTATTTGGTGTTCTATAAGGATGTCAAATTAGCTAAGGTTCCGATTGATTGACATTCGTTACAATGGCATTTTAGTTGTAGAATAGCCTATGTAATGTAATTTGTCAATAAATAATTTGTTTGCTGTCGTTTAATAGAAAGTCATGTCAGCTTTTTTGGATAAGCAAGAAAGTAAATGTGATATTCGGGGAGCCGGAATTCTCTTAGATTGCAGTTTTAGCAAAAAAAAGAACGTTATGCTGGTAGATAATTATATATCGTTAATCTAAAATTTTGGTCTTTTTCATATTTATTCTCACTAACTTCATTTCTTTTTAGATTGCGTGTCAGTCCGGTTTAGTATTCATGCTACATTTTGATAGAAGAGGAGAGAAAGCGGAATGGTTCCAGAAATTGGATGAACATATACGGAAATATGTTAGTATTAATATATACTATGAAGCATAGATTAAGTTAATGTAACTTACTAAATACTTGTTTTTTGCTAATGTTTCACGAGCTTAATTGATATCGCTCGCATTAGTAAAATTCTCACATTAAATAAAGTTACTGTTTTAATTTTTACAGAGTCGAGGACATCGGACTGGTAAAGTTATTACTTTCGACCATACTTGAACTACAGTATACAGCAAATTGATGGTAATACGAGCCATAATGTTATTATTGTTATTATTGTTATTGTAATTTCAGATCCAGTGGAATATATTGATGGCGATGGTCTAAATGAAGTAGCAGGTCCGTATTCATAAATAAACCGATAATTCAACATTAAAAGTTATAAATTTTGCTTAGCTTTTATGATTATGTTATAGCAAGAATTTAAAAATATTTACATTCCATTGGTAATGTAGAAATATACAATGAAAGTGAACAATCTTTTGAACGATTGCGGATGATGCTTAAAAGACTTTTAGCACGTCGGCCTCCAGTTGATGTATTAAAACAAAAAGGCATCTTAAGAGGTACTGTATTTTACAAAGCTAATGTTTACATAAATTATACCGGTAAACTATTTTATTGATACGGTACACTAAAAGTATTATTTTTAAAATTTTTATTTCAAAGAACAAATATTTGGTTGCCCACTTGATTCCCTTTGCGAGCGTGAACAAGGATCTGTTCCTTTATTCGTTCAATTATGTCTATCCCAGATTGAGAAATATGGTATGTTATTCCTTCAAGTTATTATTTATGAACTGTTTGCGTATTATATTGACAAGTGAAAAGTATTACAGTTTTTATCTTGTTTATCGAAGGTTTGGATAACGAAGGCTTGTATAGAGTTGGCGGTAATATGGCGTTGGTCAACAAGATAAAATATATGGTTGATCAAGGTGTGAACTTAGATTGTCGATTCGATTCAGACTTTATCCTATTTTATTTATGTTTTCAAATGAACAGATTCTTCTAGGTACGATAGATGCAAACAAGAAAGTAACCAATTGTAAAAATTTTTCTTAATGTTAGAATTAAAGCTGGATCTGGAGGACGATTTATGGAAAGATGTTCCAGTACTAACAAGTGCTATTAAATTATACTTTCGAGAACTGCCGGAATCCTTACTTTCGAAATCGTTATTTGACGATTTTATTATAGCTTTAAGTATAATTGCCATCTGCTTCTAATGTGAAGATTCGCATATTCTCATACTTATGTTGGATTAACAATAACAATTTATTTATTTCAGAAAAAGGAAGTGAGCATGCAATTATGAAACTTTTAACTGATTACATCAACTCTTGTTCTATTTACACCAGTCAAACGCTTCATAGTCTAATGCTTCATCTTACAAGGTATGAAATTATTGGTTAGCCTTAGAATTTACTTTAACCCTGCACTTATCGATTTAATATTGCATTTGTTTCAGTACAGCATATACTCGTACATAATTATCTACGAATTGATAACTATATTGGTCTGATTGGCCAGTGAAATAAATTTGTAACTATGTTTTGTATATCTTATAAGGATCGTAAATAATGTTGAAAAAACCAAGATGAATGCTTCCAATTTGAGCATTGTTTGGGGACCAAATCTTATGAAGACAACACTTACGTCTAACATTGCTGCAAATACTGTGTATCAGAATCGTATTGTCGAAAAACTGCTTATTTATCAGAAAGAAATCTTTAAAAAAGTTGCAACGAAAAAACCGATTCGACCAAGATGAAGGGAACATTCACTTTCTACATTAATCGCTTGTCAATCTGCAAGAATTATACATTTTTAAAGTCTTGACATGGATTATCTGACAATTCGCTGCAGTTTGCATTTATCGAAGCTTACAATATAAATTGCAGTAAAACTACATGTTGATACAGTACGTTATGCTTAAATGTAACACACAATCTACTACCACTGAGATTGTATATGTAAACATCGGTATAGTAAAATGAGGATTAGTATGCCTCTCGTGTACCTTACCTGCATATTGTAATATGTGCAGCAGCTAACCCTTTTATGATATATAACTGTTAACCAAGGAAGCATGAAACTTTCCTATTCTGATAAATATCGTAAGACAATTTTAACATTGATAAAATTTACACTATAACCGTCAAGGATACCTTTCGTATACCTTATAACTTTGCTTGAACTGCAACATTATAAATAAGAACAGTTAGACTGTTATTACCGTTTTATTTCTTCATCTCGTATGCTTTGAAAAGAAAATATATGGAGCTTATAAACCGGTTACAAACTATGTAGTAAAGATGATGTCAGTCGAAATACTATAGTGTTTCATGAACAATGACGACACTTTCAGTAATTTATTTTCATTGGCATAGATATATAGTATAATCTGTTAAAAATGTACATATATTCTTGTGCAGCAAGCATAAATTTGAACTGGATTCCAGTGAAATGGTAGCTTTACGATATTGTATAGTACATTCGTAAGGGTTATGTAATAAATGCATTTATATTAATAATAAGGTTGTTACTTTTAACTGTAGCTGGTTAATAAAGTATTGGTATTAAATTGATCACGTATTACAGCGTATGCTTCAATGTCGTCCTTACATGATCCTTACTAGCATTGTGTTTTATCATCTAGTAAGGCAGGGACACATGTTACCTATAATGCATTACTACAACAAATACATGTTTATCATTGGCAATACGAAATTGAAGTACTGATAGAGCTTTGTAGTTTAATAATCTGATGATAATGAACAATACTCGTATATTGCTTTCTTCTGTTACGGCATTGAACTATCGCGTGATTAATTGTTTTTTTTAGTTGTATATAGCGATAATGTACACACGTAGTTGTTGTAGATTCTCATATTTTCATCATTGTCTTGTCAAATATCTCCGATATGTTAAAAACACTCGTATAGAAATCTGCTCTGAATGATAAGACAGTGCGTAAATGGCATTCTATTAGGCTGAATATACAAAGAAAGAAAATTAGCATCCTTACACTCGTAATTATAGCACAATAAGCTTAACGCTTGGTAATGCTGCAGTTTATTTAAAATCTCTTAACGTAGCACCAATTATCCAGTAAGCTGTTAAGAGCAAGGACTTTCCATTCAGTAGGTTTATGAAGCTCAAAATCGCAGACGTTTCTGATAGTTACGTATACTGTACACCACAGTATTTATTTTTTTGACTGTTTTACATGCAGTGTATAGCAGACTCCATCGCACGGAATGTAGTGCATGCAATAGGATACAGCATCTGTGCTAGGGACTTTTAAAAAAAATCCCTTGATCCGCACTACCGAACATGCTGGATGCTTAAGGCATCATCTAGGCAGTATTAGGCATCAAGAGATCCGGGTTTTTAGCTCTAATTTAGCTCAAAAGTCCTCAAGTATCCCAATGCAACACTACACTGAAGCATATACTGCATGTATAATGTGGTCTAGGGATCATAGGAGACACAGTATAGAAAGAGCAGCTCTTTCAGCAACGTCTGTGCATTAGACTGCCTTAGCCTTGCAAATTTATGTTATGCTACAGACATCGTTGAAATCAGCGATATCTGCAACATAAATTTGCAAAGCTAAGGCGGTCTAGTATGCATTGTGCAATAACCTTTGTCAACAGCGGTGTGAGACTTCGTGGCCATCACTACGATGGATCGGTCGCCTCTCTCTCATCAACGATTAGTAACTTAATACCAACAAATTAAGCAGAAGGATCAGCATATAAGATCCCGATGTGATCCAAGTTGTATCGCTGCTAGTCATCGAATGCAATGGGAAGGTATAAAAATGCCGGAAAGTGATGTTGATCTCTCTCTTTTTGCCAATATATCATTGACAAGTCCCTACAACTACTCAGTTCCTCCATGGTTCCTCATTCGTTTAGTCTGTGCTGATCCCTGTACACATGATGGTACAAGACATCGAATGCAATGGAAGGTGTCAAAATGCCGGAAAGCAATCTTGATCTCTCTCTTTTTGCCAATTTATCATGGACAAGTCCCTACAACTACTCAGTTCCTCCATGGTTCCTCATTCGTTTAGTCTGTGCTGATCCCTGTACACATGATGGTACAAGACATCGAATGCAATAGAAGGTGTCAAAATGCCGGAAAGCAATCTTGATCTCTCTCTTTTTGCCAATTTATCATAGACAAGTCCCTACAACTACTCAGTTCCTCCATGGTTCCTCATTCGTTTAGTCTGTGCTGATCCCTGTAAACATGATGGCTTCAGACCATCGGATTTGATGGTCTGAACGAGTAGCGTACAATGTACTGTAAAATAAAGGTTCAGTACAGTACAGTACAGTACGGCTCGACTCGAGGTGTGCAAAAAAAGTTGTCACCTTTATGTCTCATCTTTGAATCTAGTATAGTTTGTATTCTATAGGAAATGGTAGTGCGTATGACTACTTAGCTATGACTGGCTTTTTTGCACAATTCGGCTGTGTACTGTACCAAGACGGGATAGTACCGTAACGTCCAAGCGCACTTGTACTGTACTCTACTCTACCTATACCTCTGTAACTGTAGTGCAGAACCCATACTGTACGTATTCGAGATTTCGAGTATCAAGACTAAGCCCGCTGTTGAATGCTTTTTATACTGTAGCACTTCTTCAACGGTTTACTCAAGTGCTGAAGAAGAGGCCCAAAATGGTTGATTCCTAAGGGGAATCTTCTCAGTTTAAATTGCAAAAAAAACTTCAATCTTGTCCAGTATTAGTATTATCACAATTGGTAAGTTAAAATCAAGCTCGAACTAAAGATTAGGAAAGTATAAAATTATCCTACTTAAGGCTAAAAAATAAAATGTATGATATTAGAAGATAGACCACGGAAAAGATGGCATTGGGACCGTTAGGCCAGACCTAGCATTTCCATCATTGAGTCTCATTGACTCTATGCAATCGCTCAACTGTTGCTTGCAGTACTTTGAATGGCGATAACATTTCATCGTCCATATCAATTATTTTATACTTACAGCAACATCAACCTCCAAGTACAGTATAAATTATAGCATTCAATCTTAGTAAAGCCATTAAAATAGCTGGAATCCTCATAATTATTTTATTCGTTGATTGAATAATAACTTGCTAGCATGACGCATTCTTCTGTAAATCGATTCTAAAAATTGCAAATTAAATTATTCAGCTGAATTTGTAATGTACATTATATCGTAAATTGATGCAATCCATATCAGAACAGAGTAATTCACATTTCATTTATCTATTCTATTTTAATGATTATCATTTGTTAGCTAATTGCATCTGTAGCTATGTTTATGCGTTGTATTGAAATAATCGGCGTTGCATGCACAACGCTTTCTCAATTTGTTAGAAAATTTTACACTCTATCGATCGAAATGACCCTATGAATGATGTTCATTTGCAACAATTGCATTTCATCATATTACTGCATCCTTTTGCTCTTTATCATATGCAAGCTATTGAACATGAAATTACTTTTCCACTATTTCAATTTAGACGATGATTCAAAATTACAAGCCATGCAAGAATTTAGCGAAAACCTGGAGGTTTGCAATGATAGTTCCGATCTTATGCATGCAAACTGTACTTTTTGCTCTTACTCACTACTATTTCTTAGAACGCGAAATAATATCAGTATAGAATAATAGATGTATACATATTGCAAATTTCTATTCATATCTTATATCGTTATATTTCTCGTTGAAATATAGACAATGCTAGCATCACCTCAATATTCGACTTTTCTCGAAAGTGTCATGCCTAAATTTTTAAATTATCTGCGCACAAGTAAGTCCTCTCAAGTAGACATCAGATTTCTATTTAGTTATGCATGATATATAATATTGATAAATATGGTTACAATTTGATGTTATAGATGCTTTAGTACAGGTAGACTGCATAGTAAGTTCAGTACCAGTTGCACTGTCTTATAAAAGCTAAACAAGTAACTAACGTCTGAGCTATCATCAACATTGTATACCATAGTATGACAATCATTTATTTGCTATCTCTCAATTTTAAGTTGATTTTTATGTAGACTTATGTATCACAACAAATAATTGAATATTATTTCTCATATGTAACAATGTGTATTTTGTATGTTATAGCCAAGCCACAACTTTATGATAGTCCAGTACAGGTGAAATTAAATATATGGTTGTTACAGTATGTCTATTATTCCCCAATCTCTTTTGACTAAATAACATGGAAATAAGTAATATAATTACCCAAAACAGAATTATATTACATGTGCACATACTACTATAATATTAAATGCCGACTGCTGTAATACCTTTCCTATGTACTTTTGCAAAATTAGCAACTTCGCAAACTAATACTAGAAATTATACATCGTATTCCTCCAAATGAAGCCATGAAAAATCATGTTAAGGTTGCATTTCAATATTACTTGATGTGTTGTAATCTCTGACTTGACCTTAATAAGCTTAATCAACTGATTTAAATAAAACTACTATTGATATCATTTCCTTTATATTTTATAGCCGGTCTTGCAATTGGCCTTTAGTTTAATCAAGGTATGTTATAAAATAGATTTACGTTATGACCATTAATTATCGAAGAAATATTCTAAAAATTGTAGTACTTTTAACTAGTTACGAAGAATTTCTTTTGTGCTTACTTTATCGTGTGGTCTTTAGGAGGAAAATGAAGAAATCGCTTTAGTTTGTATCAGAATCATTATCGAATTACATAAACAGTTTAGACCACCTATTGGATCAGAGGTAAGTTTTTTCAAATAGCTTACTTTGTAGTCTTTGTACAAATAGTAAATCTACCTAGTTCACTATCAGATTAAGTATCATCGATCTTGTTATCACTCTGTTTTAACGTTCGCTTTTGTATACTTAAATAGGTGCAGCAATTTCTAAATTTTATCAAAAAGATTTACACTGACTTGCCAGCCAACTTTGTATGTAGAAACACAGTAATCATTGATTCTAGTCAGGCTAATTAAATTGTCAAGCTCATTACGTGGTATTTTCCGTACAGAATGATATTTTCGAAATGAAAGCCACCACATCTATAGAAGCATCTAATTCATCTACAGCTGTTGCTGCTAGTTCTATTGGAGGAGGTTCTGGCGGTGTGGCTGCTTCAAGTAGCTCGGCCCCTGTATCTGCTGGTACGAAGCAATCGAAACAACCGGTAAGTATCAATTTAAAATTATACAATCATATTTTGTGTTAATATATGGGATTATTTCATTTATTACAGGTAAAATTACAATCTGCGCTAACATCGTTAAAAGTATTGGCGGAACTGCCTTTAATCGTCGTCCTCATGTATCAGGTCTTGAATACAGTAATTTTAATTTTTCAGCTTTGATTAGATTCTATCTTAAACAAATGAATAAATTACTCTCTTGTAAAGAATTTCCAGCAGCAATGATTTGATTTTGGAATTGTTTATTATATTGGTAGCTATACAAACAAAACGTACATACGCTAGTTGAAGACTTTATTCCATTGATTATGGATGCTATTTTGATGCAACCATCTCAGAGTGCTAGGTAAACGTATCACTTTTAAATATTACGATGTGGATTGGAAATTAAATTTTGTAGTTTGAAGTAGATCTAATCCTATTTTGCTAATCATGGTAGATCGGCTCCATCATTTAATCGCGATCTTTATGCCGACTTCATTACTGCACAAATTAAGATGCTTTCATTTCTAGCATATGTGATTCGAGTGTTTTTGGTGAGTATTCCAGTTCGTATTTATAATTAGAAAATGTAGTCTTCATAGTAACTAAAGCTTTATCTAACTGATTATTCAGGAGGAAATTAATAAATATTCTCCTCGCATGGTCCAAGGTGTTATTTGCTTATTAAAAAATTGTCCGCCGGTAAAAATTAGACACATTATTACTACTTAATAAGATAATTATCGACTTGTCATTTTGCGATATATTAGTATTCTAACTTTTTTTAAATACTTATATATAAATTTTAGGAAGCCGCTAATCTGCGTCGAGATCTACTCATCGCAATTCGGCATATCCTAAGCACAGATCTTCGAAATAGTAAGACGCAGTATATACTCTCAAATATTATACCTTATTAATTTTATACCTTGGATGTGACATGTAGTCAAATTTTTAAATACCGCATACCAATATCTATTTGTTACTACTAGAATTTGTTCCACAAATTGACAAATTATTTAATGAGAATGTTCTTATTGGCCCTGGTTGGACTGCTCGCACGTCATTCAGGTTTGATTATACAAATTATGATTTTATCTGCGTTCTTACTCTGTTAGCTTTAAAATATGTTTTTTGATAGAAGCACTCTTTGTTACATTAGACCTTTAGCTTACAGCACTCTTGCCGATCTTGTGCATCATGTTCGAACTCATTTACCGCTAAATCAGCTGTCTTTGGCTGTTCATTTGTTTTCTAAAAATATACATGATGATTTACTGCCAATAAGTATACAAGTGATGTCATGCAAGGTACGTCTATCAATGTCCTTTTATGCATTGATTCATATTATCGATTATAACGAAAAGTTTTTTAATTCCTATCTGGAATTATTTTGATACAGTTGGTATTAAACTTGGTTGAATGTCTTCGCCAAAAGAGCTCTACTGACGATCTAGAAGGTCAAGGACGTGAAATTTTAATACGAATGTTGGAGGTGTTTATTCGCAAGTTAACATATATCGCGAAAAACCACGTTCCTGTCCTGCTCGCAAAAAAGTATGGTATACTCGGTTTAAAGCTTTTCGTTTCAACACATATTTTAATATTGAACAAATTATCAATATACAGTAAAGAATCATCAAGTACAAGCGGAAGTAATGCAACTACGAGCTCTGAAGGAGGTAATATCAGCAGAATTTTTATAGCAATTTTGACTCGACGTCATGTTTTTCCCTACCACTTATCGTTATTATCATCTTTCATTAGGTACTATTTCTGGCGATTTAGAATTTGATTCACAAGAAAGCGATAAAAAATCTCCTTCTATTGGTGAGTATTTTTAAAGTCTTTCTGATACTATCAGTGATAGGTATTATAAAGTACGTAAGATTAGTATACAGTAATACATATATATATATATATGCTCATCAATATATTAGGTCCTAGTCTTGCATCCCATCCCCCCACGATGAATGTGAATGATTGTCGAACAATGGTCAGAACGCTTTTACTAGGAATAAAAACGATTACTTGGGGAGCTGGCTCATGTAAAATACCTGGAGGTACCTTTTATAAGATTATGTCGTGTACATTTTCATATAATACTTGGAGTTGTAATGTTTATGTTACTAAACAAACATAGTAGATGCAGTTGCACTTAACTATGGTAACCAAAATAGCAAATATTTTCTACCGGAAGAAATCAATGTTTTTACAAGATTATTAAAATATGGTGAGTGAAAGTTTAGGCCACAGTGCTGTATTAAAGTAAGTAGATAATAATATAACCGTAATTGTGATTTTAAATTAAATGTTTTATATAGGCTTACGAGCCCTTGATATTCACAAAATTGGACATAGCTCTAACACTGCTATACAAAGCCGCTCTACAAAGTAATTGTTATTTATTTATTTAATTTTTGTTATCGTGCTTTTCATGACTTATTTGTTTTTATCTTTGCTTAAGCAATACAAACTCTCGTCAAAGAGATGAAAAAGAATTACTCGAACATTATTCTGGCGTTGTAAGTCATGACTTCATTAACAGACGGTTTCATCATGCGAGTATTACTACAGTATATTGATATGCTTTTAGAATAACTGAACCAAATTTAATTTCTCTATATCTAGTTCATTATGCTAAATCCTTGCAGTTTTAAGGAAGTTATAGAAGTCAACATTGACTACCTAGTTGAAAGAATTCATAACAATTACAACTTACAAATAATCCCGAATCAGTTCTTGGCCAATAGCGCGACATCATCATGCTTCGCATCCATACTTATCAATTATTTATTGGATAAACTTGAAGAAATGGGATGTATGTATAGCTGCAGAAGCACAAAGTTGATGCAACATTTGATAATGACTTAATAGCGCTTGCATATTTTCTTTGACGTAATGATTTCCAAATTTTTGTTTGCAGCTAATACTGAAAGGTCTAATCTGTACCTTAAATTGTTTAAATTGGTATTTGGTTCTGTAGCAATATTCGCAAACGAAAATGAACCAATGCTGAAAGTGCGGAAATATATGCTTTATAGAAAGATATTTACATGTTTGAATTATTATTAGATTATTCACTAAAATTTGTCATGATCTTGTTTGCCTTTAGCCACATTTGCACAAAATCGTTAATCGATCTATGGAATTGGCCTTAACTGCTAAGGAGCCTTACAATTACTTTGTATTAATGAGGGCGTTATTTCGTTCTATTGGTGGGGGTAAGACAACGAAATGCGATTTTACTCTTACCTTGGCGTAACATTTTTTTATTTACTACATAAAATATTTACGTCTATATAGGTAGTCACGACTTATTATATCAAGAATTCCTACCATTATTGCCGAATCTTTTAAAAGGATTGAATCTGTTACAAAGTGGGATTCATAAACAGCATATGAAAGATTTATTCGTTGAATTATGTTTGACGGTACCCGTACGATTAAGGTATGCTCTAATACCCTCACTATTGGATCTTCAGTCCATTTATGATTGTAAATTTTCTGTTATTGCAGTTCTTTACTTCCTTATCTACCAATGCTAATGGATCCCCTGGTATCAGCTCTCAATGGATCTCAAAACTTAGTTACACAGGTAAATAAGAGTGTAATAAGTAGTAGCAGATTTTTTTAACGATTTAAAGATGAATACCTAAACGGCATTGTTTGATTTGATATTCTGCAGGGATTAAGAACTTTGGAACTATGTGTTGATAACTTACAGCAAGATTTTTTGTATGAACACATACAACCTGTAAGAGCTGAGCTAATGCAGGTATGTAAAAATGTTATAAATTAGTAGTTATTCGATGTATTCCTACTAAAATTCATTCTTCATAGGCACTCTGGCGAATTTTGAGAAATCCCAACGAATCACTATCTCACTCAGCATTGAGGGTATTAGGAAAATTCGGAGGTGGTAACAGAAAATCACTGAGAGAGTCCCAAAAGGTACTTTAAAATTTGTTATTATTACCCTTGTTTAATCTTTCTTGTAGCCTCATTAGTACCGATTATTTTTTAGCTTGATTACGAAGATTGCCATACACCTGGACCTTGCATTTCTATTCAATTTCCTGAAAGCAAGCATCCCATATCACTACCTGTTTCTAAAGTAATCTAGACTGTACCTTTAGCTTCATATTTCAACGAGTAGACATGTAATAAAACTTTACTGATAATATCTAGGCTATAGCTTTTGCTTTATCAATACTGAAAAAATCCTCAACCGATGCCCACTACCGTAAACAAGCTTGGCTAATTTCTAAGGTGTGTAGCGAATAAGTCATTTTCAAGTTAACTCAAGGAACAGGGCAAAATGAGGTCATACTTTAATCTGCTTTATATATAGTACTTCATCGTGTCAACGTTGCAACTGAGTGAGAGTAGATGTAATATTAAAGAAATCTTAACCCAAATCAGGTAAGATGCTCACAATTTAATTTTTATTGTGAAGTTATCATTTTTAAAGTTTAAAGACTTAATGATTAATTGACCTGTACCAGATTTTCAGAACAGAAACCACAAGTCAGTAAGATGCACTCTCGCTTGGCAGCAGATGAAATAACAAGAAAAACCTTTGAACAAGCACTTACGGCAGTATTTGGTATTAAAATTATGATTTTATAAGAGATTTATAACCATACTAACATGATAATTGTAATAATTTCATTAGTCGCGGCTGCTGTTAATGATCTCCGATCTGATGCAGTCCCTTTCATGACCGACCTAGTAACACATTTAGCCATGATTGCTATCGTGCAACAATTTTCTGTTAAACCAGTTACTTACCAGTAAGAACAATCTTTATCGCATCGGTATTTTAATGATCAGATTGAATTTTAAAACTGACTTAAAAATGCTTTTAGAACGCGTTATATGGACATCCATGTATTGATTGACGCAATTGCAGTTTGTATGACATCAGCGGAGAAAAGTTTAACAATCTTCGGCGAAGTAGCAATTACGTTGATAATTAAAACAGCCGTTATGATACTTGGATCCCCTCAGAGGGTACATTTTCTAAATTTCATGTTAGCCGTGAGATTGCATCTATATCTAACGTGTGTCATTTCCTTTAGATAAGTAACGTACCTTTCTTTGATGTGATGGCGAAAAGACTATGTAAATGTTGCTATGAAAGAGCTTGGTTTGCGAAAAGTGGAGGGTAATTAATTCCTTACAATATTTACCATCTTTTATTTAGGTTGTATCTGAAATGACTCGTATTATCATAGGTGTAGTGCAATTAGATGTTTAATGACGCATATGCCTCTAAAATGGGTCATGGAACATCAGGGAGCTTTTGTTTCTGCTTTACTCTTTTTAATGATGGATTTGAGTTACGAGGTAAATATAAATAATATAGTGCTTTAAATTCCAACTTCAATTTTCATGTATTAAAACGTTGTCATGAAATGATGAGAAAATAATAAGCCTTTCAATTACTGAAGGTATCTTCTGGCACAATTGATGTCGCTAAGAAAACCTTAGAAGATCTACTTAGACTGTGTAATAAACCCATAAATAATGAGGTAAATCTCGTCACTGATGCTGACGATATAGACGTACTTGTGAACATATGCCTGGTGTAAATCCCTATTTCAATGACGCATTTGATATTACTTCATTATTAGCATGACTTATCAGCAATTCAAAAGAAGCACTTTCATTTGGTATGCCAACGCTTTATTCGTGAAGTTATCTCTCCCAATCAGACAGTTCGTGAACAGGTGAAATTTGTTGTCGTGATTTCTTAAAGCGTGATTTTTTTACTATGGGTTTTTAAAGTAAAATTTTTATTACGACATTTTTAGTCTTATCAATGCTTGGAGCTCTTAGCTGATATAACAGCCAAGTCTGTATACGATGTCATGGTATTACATAAAGATGTAAGCTGTATGCTATTTCTACGGAATACTACATTACGACCCTAGTTCTGTATTCAGTTTTTCTAATACTTAATATCTTTCTAAAATTAGGTGATTGCCGATATGATTCCTCCAAAGGTAATTAATTTATACAGTTATATAATGTTTACAATGAATTAAAATATGTGAAGCGAGTATCTTAGCGTAACTAGCTATATGTTTATGTGGCTACGGTAGAAAAATTTACTAAGGCACCAACCAGTCAATCAGCAAATCGCCATCATGGTAAGTACAGTATTTTGCATGACACTATGTAAAAGGTGTACATTATTGATAAAATACAGCATTGTATTGACCCTCAAATACTTAAAAAGCTATATTGAATTTTTTATTATTACTAGGACGGTAACACTTTTTGTAGTACTATACAACCCCGCTTATACAGTTTAGATCTTTCCAGCCATGAACATAAACTCTTCGTTACTGAGGTAGCTACAATTAAATGCATCATTTAAATAATGTATTGTACTTGTGCTATGCCCCTTTTATTTCCTATAATAAAGTAATATTTATGTATTAGCTATTATCGTTATGCGAAGCCGATGATGCCACGCTGCATAAACTTCCTTGTTACAAACCCGTCAAATCGTTAGTACCGCTTAGAAAAAGTGCTTTAGGTAATGGACCTACCCAATCAACGTATGTAGTATTTATCCGTCAAATTCTGATATCTTTACTTTTATTACAGCGGCGTTAGCGTCTCTACACTATATCGAACAGAAGTCAGAACTCCAAAAGATTTTTAACGTTATCTTTAAGGTATTGATATGAAAAAATAAACATATTTTCAATTGTAATTTATTCGTTTGTATACAAGGTAGCGCTATCACTTTATTATCAGTCTCTTATTGTTATGAGCTAATATGTAATTATGTCTGAACGAATCATAACACTTATTGTCCACAGAATCTGACATCAAGTGAAAGTGAACTTCAGAAAGCGGCGAAAAAAGCTATGCAATCGGTTTGTATAGATTAGGATATAATGATAGAATTTTAGCAATGAAAGTATCTTTAAAATTTAAAAATTGCAATATCTTTATTTAGTTTTTAGTAGGATATCAAGTAGAACTTGATCTATTACATACAAATATCAAGCAATTACTCTCAGGTCTAGGAGACTACAAGAGTCTTACACCAAGTTTCATACAGGTATACAGATAGCATATGTGAGGTTTTTGCTATATTAATCTCAAGTTGCACAATAGTATTTTCCCTTCAGACTTTCATTTAAATGTTCAATTAAACGATCAATTTTACAGCGCTTGTCTATCACAACGGAATTATTTCCAGCATCTTTTAGCCCGAAATTATGTGATCAATTATTGGTAATAAAATAAGTAATACATTTGTTTAACTACTAGTCTTCAGAATTATTTAATGCTCTTGTTTTTGTTAGACACATATTAAAAGAGGAGCTGACAACATTGCAGCGTCTCAGAGTCGTAAGAAGCTAAAACAGGCTGTAGAGGTAATAAATAATCAAAAATTATTGAAGTATTTTAAAAGCTAAGATAGTTAATTATATCTATATCGCTGAGTTATTTTATTTCTCATTACTTTTAGGAAGCAATAATCTGTGCTAAAATAGTTAACGTGTTTCATATCGTACCTGCTACGTCTTTTAAATTATTTGAACAAATCGTCGAAACTGTGCTAAAGTGTGAAAAAGCAACTAACACTGATGTCAGTTCATAAATGCTAAAATGATTCTTTGCAGCTTTTAAGAAACTATAGTTCGCTTTCGTCCTCATAAGGATTTGAATAACATATTACCTTGTATTATAGGCCGGAAGCCCTTTTCGAGAACCATTGCTAGACTTAGCCCTTCGATATCCTACTGAATCGGTGGACTTTTTTCTTTCTCGGTTAATACTGCCACAATATAGCCGATTGTTCATAGTAAGGAGGAAATATCGCATTAATGAATGAGCTACAATGGTGATACTTATTTAGTAAATCATGCGGCAAAATGTTATATATTTTAGTTTTTGCTTGGAAAAGAGAGAGCAAAACCAATTCGTCAGGTTTTAGAGACTGATCCCAATAAAATTATTATTAATGCATTGGATTCTGTCAAGGTAGTTGAATATATTCAGTAAATCGTTTAAAAAATATATACGTATACTAAATATCTGTCTCAACATAGCCGGAAGGAGAAACGTTAACATCTGAGAACAAGGCATTATTGCAATATCAAGGAGTGCTTATTACCCGGTCAGCTTTTAGAATAATTTGCTCATTGTTAAGTATCATGCAATACTAAAGATTAATTGAAACTCTATTACAGAATATTAAGTAAGTTAAATCCAAGCTGGTATGCAAAACAAAAGATCCTGGTAAGCATCGAGTAAATTTATGTTTTAAATGATGCACAAGTACAGTGAAAGTATTTTTAATATTATAGTTCGTCCACCTAACGCGGCTATGGTCGTCTGATTTCTTCCAGGAACGTGTAAAGATGGTTAGATAATTCTTTAAATTTTCTAAACCTATTTCAAAGTTGTTATTCTCTTGTCCATTTTGAAAACTTATGTTCTTAATTCAAATTCGCTTTTAGGAGTCATCGCCTGCGAATCGATGGGACGAAGCGAGATTATTGTTAAAGTGTTTATTGATGTACTATAAGGAAAACAAAAATGAGATAACAGCTTTATTTCAGATGCTGAGAGCATTTACATTACAACATATATGCAACTTTCAATTTTTTCGTGAATTTTTAGAATGTCTTTGTAAGGTTAGTTTAAGTCCTTTCAATAGCTTCCGATAAAATAGGAAAATGAAGTGTATTTACGAAATTTTGTTTCTTACAGTCTTATACCATCGAGCAGAAACGTAGTGTCTTTTTTAAATTCATCGAAATGTTTGTCAAGAAATTATTGCCACAGGAAATAATTGCTAAGGTAAAATTAAAGAATTTCTAGCAATTTCAGTCTAATCATACTTGTGGGTTAATCTGTTCAACTTATTTCTAGATTCTTTCATACCTAATTATACCAATGGTTACAGAATCTTTCGAGGAAGGAAAAATTGATGAGGTAAATTGTGGTGTGTTTCTGATTCTATTTCTAGTAGGTATTACAAGTATGGTATTGAAACTGTGGTTCTGATTTACAGATTATTGGGGGTTCTCCTAACCCTGATCAAGACAATGACGAAAATATTGTTGGTGTATTTATTAACAAAATAATCGATCCTGATAATCCATTTAAAGCATCGGTATGTAAAACTGGATATCTAAGGAATTTTTTTGCTAGTCTTAGCACTAATTCTGTATCTAACCTCTGTTTAAGGATGAAGTACGAATATTACTTTTACAGTTTTCGTCATTGCTTGTAGAGTTTGCTTCTCCACATATACATGACCCTGCTAATAGGTACGACTTTGCAAAATTGGTCCAGTCCTTTAAACATCTTATTATGCCTAGATAATTAATATCCATTGTTATTTGTAGGAGGCAAGGAAACAAACTTCGTCGGTTGATGGTTTATGCATGGCCTTGTCTTTTGCCTAAGCAGTGCATGGTACGGATAATGTTCGATAGTACGGTAGTGTCTTTGATGATACATTTACTAATGTTTAATTATGAATTTTAGGATCCATCTACGAAATATTTTGGTCACTTACTCCTTGCTCACATCATCGCAAGATTTGCAATTCATCGAAGAATAGTGCTTCAGGTATACGAGTATATATACACATGTATATAGATATGTGTGCAAGTACTTGAGGGATTTCAAACGTTCAGATGATTAACGGAAATACCGAATTCAGGTTTTCCATAGTCTTCTAAAAGCCCATGCTTTGGAAGCGAAAGCAGTTGTCCGTCATGCTCTTGATATATTGACTCCTGCTATGCCAGCCAGAATGGAAGATGGAAATGTAAATTTAGATATACCTTGAATGTGTTCAACTGTAATATAAACTTCGTTTGTCAGATTAAACTAAAATTTGACCTTACTTTAACCGTAGACGTTACTGGCGCATTGGACGAAAAAGATTATTGTTGAGGACGGCCATATTACTGCTCAACTTGTTCACATTCTGTATGTATGACTTTGTTACCAGTCTTTACTTTTAATAAATTGTAATTCGTAGTAAATTTTACTTCTGGGCAGATATCTAGTGGTTCGCCATCAAAAAGTGTACTATTCGGTTCGCCATTTGCTTGTGCAACATATGATTAATGCTATGCAAAAGTTAGGGTTTCCTCATAATGTAAGTACTGTCCTTTAACTTCTATTTAATTTGTCGTTTGCACTAATATCTATTAATAATACTATCGCTTTACAGTCTACTATAGACCACAGAAAGCTTGCAACTGATTTAGCAGAAGTAATTATAAAATGGGAATTGCGAAGAGTTAAAGAAGAAGTTACGGACTCTGATGTAAGCAATTATCATGCAAACTGACTTGTATAAGCATCTGAACTCGAACTCTTACATTTAAGGGCCAGGAATCGGATGCCGTAGAAAGCGCCAATACTTCTGTAAGTAACCAGTTAGTTCTTTTAATGTACGTTTCAGTTTGATCTTAGCTCTAAGATTGACTATCTTACCGAAGGCTACAGTGACCTTGAAACGTTCGGCTTCTGACGAATTGCAACCAGAAGCTAAGAAACAAAGGACATTATCGCAGGTATTTCGTTTTTTAAGTTTGTCGCATTACTTCCCTCACAGGCTAGAATACTGTATATCTACATAATGATTTTTACCTACAGGGTTCAACTTCAAGGCCGGTACCCATTGAAAATAAGGCCCCAATAGAAAAAAGTCATAGCGACAGCATCGTTAATTTTCTGATTCGATTAGCTTGCTCGGTATTATCATTGAAACAAAAATAGTTGTATAGGTTCAATTGTATAATTTCGTACTACTACTTACGTAATTGATCTTCGCTTGCTTGTTAGGTTCATGAACCCTCCACAACAAGTGGTTCTCCGAATGAGGCGTTGTCACAACGTTGTATCTCTCTGCTCAAGATTGCTTTGAAACCGGAATTGTGGCAAAGTAACAGTTATTTCTTGTTATTACTATCATGCTAATGCTACGGATTTTAATAGGTTTTCTCAAATTTTTGATATGCGTTATAGATGCAGAAATAAAAATTGTTTGGTTTGACAGAATATTCTCTGCTGCCGTAAGATATAATTAATATAAAACTAGAGTATAGACTTATGATGAAAATGATTGTCATAATGTCGGATCGAATTTCGTTAGGATAATCAACCAACATGCAACACCGGCAATATTTGCGCTGGTTTTGAAATCATGACGCATTTACTCTCTGTGCTGGTAAGATGTCAATCTATTTCGCTTGTAGTTTTTGCTCTGAATTGGTTTTTGAAATGGAGACGTTACATTTATTTATAGTCACGCCCTGCCATTTTAAATGCGTGTAAAACTATATCCCATGGGTTAACAGTTTGTATGGCCTGCCAAAACACCAAGGTACTTGTTAAATTATGCTTTAAACGAGTAATTACATCTATTCATGATCTAGTATAAAACACGAATGTACTCATATTTCGAAATTATTTAATCTTTTTGTCGTAATAGATAACTCACGCTGTACAAGAGTTTCTGTCAAAACTTACTGCCTTATTCGAAAGTAAGTGCAAAGTTACGAAACAAGAATTAATTTGTTGCGATATAACTTAAATTACATTAACCAGTGTTTAACGAATTTTTTAAAGGTATGCAACGAAGCGAAGAAATTAACGCAATTCATATGTCCGTTGCTCGAATTGTTTTCGAACGGTTACAGCAATATGAAAGGCAAACGTATGCTAGATTAATTTTTGCTCAGAGCTTGCTTTCAACCATTGTCACTTTTTTAAAATTGCGTTGTTTTTGTCTTTAGAAACGGTTACGCAAGTTACTATGTCTTGGATGCGATTTCAACCTTGAAAGCTGTTTGCAACAATAATGCGGCTTACATTGACAAGTAAAATTTTCTATATTTTCTATACGACGTTTTAATTGAGGTTAATACCAAATCTTTGATCCATAGATTGCGAGGGATTATAATAAAGACAATACATAAATTAGCGAACGAGCATCTTGGTAGCAGAACTGAGAGTAACAGTAAGTTTACTTACACTTTAAATTAGAATTGCTCTTGATAGACTATTTAACAAGGAAGCACGAATCATTAACTAATTTACTAATTTACTACCTAACATTGCTTGTAGCCACTGTCGATCTTTTAATAGCATGTCTGGATCTAATCAAGGGTCGAATATCAACGATGCCACCAGAAGCTAAGCGAGTATTAATTCAGACTATAATAGTGCTAATAGATCGATCCACCGATCTTAAACTCCAGAAAGCTATTGTTAAAATTGTGGAAAAATGGGTAAAAGATAAATCTAATGAAAGTCAAATTGAAATGAAAGAAAAATGTACACTTTTAGTTAAAATTATGCTCAGCTACGAGAAGCGACTGCACGAAGATCAGGAATTTCAAGAAATTTTTTTAAGTTTTATTCTTGATTTATATCAAGATTCTTCGCTAGAAGGTAGTGAACTTCTATTAAAGCTTGAACCTGCGTTTCTATCCGGACTACAATGTCCTAGACCAAATATCAGGGAAAAATTTTTTAAGCTCTACAATGCTAGTACATCAAAAAATCTTATGGATCGTTGTTTATATATTTGTTGCTCACAAAATTGGGAGAAAATATTAAACCATTTCTGGATTAAGCAGTGTATATCACTTATATTGTCTGTAGCTCGATTAGATGCTCCTATAGAATCCTTTGAACAATCGCTAGTATTTCCGTCAGTTTCTTCGGCTTTTACTGGTCGACCTAGTATTTTTAGAACAGCGTTGTCCATTGACGATGCTGGTAAAAATCCTACAGCTTCGCTTGCCTCAAAGGACAGCCTGGATAATATAGAGAAAACAACGGCACCGGAAGAATCGATGGATGTAGATGCCAACTCTCATGAAAGTACCACAAATGAAGCTGATGGAGGGAAGATTGTTGAGGACTTAAGTGATAAACAGTCAAAGTTTCTAGAATCATTGCGACGCTATCAGATTAGTGCTCTATTAGATTCCTTAATACAGCTGTGCCATTACGATTCTGAATTATCCCATGATGTTTGGATAACCATCTTGCCTCAAATATGGCAACTGTTAAATCGCCCGCAGCAACAGCAACTAAGTATAGAAATGGGTCCATTCCTTTGTAGCGGTAGCCATGTAATTCAGAGAAATTTAAGTCGTAGCGCTATTAATACTTTCCTGGAAAGTTTATGTCACTGTAAGCCGCCCATTAAACTAAGACCCTGCGTCCTAAGATATCTTGGCAAAGCCCATAATGCTTGGCACCGTGCAGTTTTAACTATTGAAGAGGACGTTGCTCAATCTAAGTACAATCAGAATTCCCAGAGTGCTCCAACATCTGAATCTACGCTATTTGAATCATCGCACCATGAAGCATTGGATTCGCTCTCAGCGATGTACGCTTCACTAAAAGAGGAAGATCTATTTACCGGCCTTTGGACGAAGAGATGTAAGAATCCTAAGACAAAAATTGCTTTGAGCTACGAACAGCATGGCCTTTACGAGCAAGCTCAAACTACCTTTGAAATAGCTATGGCTAAATCTAGGGAAGATTATGCTCTCACTAGCATTTCCAACGAAATGTTTTCAGTGTATCAGTTATGGGAAGAGCATTGGATTAAATGTTCAAAGGAGTTAGGCCAATGGGATTTGTTACTCGATTTTGGAAAAATGAAGCAACACCCTAATCCCTTACTTGTTTTAGAAAGTGCTTGGCGTGTACCTGACTGGGCCGCGATGAAAGAAGCATTAAATCAAGTTGAAGTCAATTGTCCGGAAACGTTTGCCTATAAATTAAATTTATATCGTGGTTACATTGCAGTTTGCCAATCAGAAGATCCCCATGTATCACTTGTTGAAAAATTCGTAGATTTTGCCGCCACCCAAGCTATAAGGCAATGGCGACACCTACCCAAATTGGTTTCTTACGCTCATATACCAATCTTGCAAGCTGCACAATTAATTGTTGAATTGCAAGAAGCCGGTCAGATTCACAGTAGTCTACAATCGTCTAATGTTGGTAGGAACAGTAGCGTGCATGATATGAAAGCTGTCATCAAGACGTGGAGAAATCGACTTCCCTTAAGATCGGATGATTTATCTCACTGGAATGATGTTTTTCTCTGGAGACATCATCTATATCAAGCTATTATAAAAGCTTACGATAACTCTACTCATGTTGAAGGTCATGCAAGTCATGCGATGTTAGGTGTTCACGCGACTGCAACTTCGATAATATCGTATGCTGAGGTTGCTAGAAAACAAGATTTATGTGGTGTATGTTTAGATACATTAAGTAGAATTCACACAATACCATCTGTGCCGATATTTGATTGCTTTCAGAAAATTCGACAACAGATTAAATGTTATCTACAAATGGCTGGTGTAATGGGAAAACAAGAATTGCAGGAGGGCTTAGAAGTAATTGAGTCGACAAATTTACGATATTTTTCTAAGGAAATGCAGGCAGAATTTTTTGCTCTAAAAGGCATCTTTTTAGCTAAAGTTGGTCGATCTGATGATGCAAATGTATCATTTTCATCTGCTGTGCAACTGCATGATAATCTGATTAAGGCTTGGGCACTATGGGCTGCTTACCTTGAAGAAGTATTTATGCAGAAAAAGAGTATGCAGGCTGGTGCATCAGCTGTAACTTGCTATTTACAAGCTTGTCGGCAACAGAATGCTTCAAAGCATAGAGAACATTTAGCTAAAACGTTATGGTTGTTAAGCTTTGATGACGGGAAACGGACATTGGCGGAAGCATTCGAAAGATATTGTTGTTCCATCCCTCCTAATCAATGGCTGCCATGGGTACCACAGATTTTATCTTATCTCGGAAGATTGGAAGGAGGCAGTGTCGTTCATTTGGCTACTGCAATTGGCCGTATTTATCCCCAAGCTGTTTACTTTTGCTTAAGGACACTATTTTTGACCATAAAACTGAATCAAACAGAATTGCAAAAGACTGAAGTAAAGGATAATCAAAGTTCTTCTACAGGCAATGTTGAGAAGAAAAGCACTACAGAATCTAGTAATCCCTCCGATGACAATGAATCCACAATCCCTAACTATCAACAAGAACGAGGAGCTAATGCTGTCACTCTATCAAATACCGAATTAAAAACTACTGGTCAAACTGACGATATTTTGTCTTCTGAAGCAAAATCAAACCCAGTCCAAGATTTAATTTGTAATTTAGCATCGAGCAATAGTACAGCCTCTAACGAAAAAGAAGTTGCAAAAAAAAATAGTGCAGGTATTTCTGCAGCGTCTACTACATCTAAGTCCGAGAGTAGTAAAGAGAAAGGTAATTGCATATTTAAATAATTGTTTCTCAAATACTATGATGTTATACGGATATATAAATACTCATGATTGCCGTGTCAAGTAGAATGTAATATTGTAACTGATGTTACCGTAGATGATACTCGTGTTCACTCACAAGCTGATAAAAAATCTCTGGGAGCTGATGCCACAAAATCTAACAAATTAGATAAACCAAGTAAGGGACTTTATGCATCTAGAAATCAATTCTTTGTTGTTTATTATCTTTATTCAATTAATCTGTAGCTGAAAACCCCGATCAAACAAGAATAACTACTGCTATGGCAAGATGTAATAAAGTTATGCATGTATTGCGAGATTTGCATCCAACTCTATTGGCTGCTTTAGAAGGCATCGTGGATCAAGTAACTTCGATTAGATCATTTTGCGTTCGTATTCAGTTATATGTACTAAATTATTTTCATTTGAACTTCTTTGCAATAGATGGTTTGGTTTCGTGAAGGTTGGAATGAGGAAGTTTTAAAACAACTTCGCTTAATATTGAAAGCGTGTATGGAAGCAGCGTTCAACAGTAGATCACATGGTGCGTTGACGTATTAATAATGTTGTTATCATATATTAGGGTGCTACAACTAATATATGATGATTTACCTATTTAGTTGGAAAATCGCACGCTTCTTCAGAAATTATTAATTCTATCAAAAAACTTGTGGACAATTTTGGGTTGGCTCATGAAACTGTATCTAGTTTATCGTCCGTCTTTTCAACGGCTGCTTCAGAAACTTTGGCGCGAAGGGCTCAGGTGACTGCTCAGGATCCTAACTTTCAGAAAATACGTGGTCAATTCTCCGCAGATTTCGATTTCAGGTACTAAAATGCTAGTTGGTCAATATTACTACCATTTTACCTTTTCATTCAGTTATATCGGTGAATTAAACTAGTTGTGATCAATTTTAGTATCGCCGGCTCAAAGAAGTTGCACCCGATCATCTCTAAATTAAAGAGATGGATAAAAGTTCTTGAAGCTAAATCTAAGATGCTTCCTAGGTTTGTCGCAATAGATCTACGTTATCAGGCGTACGGCAGGACGTTAACCGTGTTTTTCTTCCATTTTAGTTACTTTTTAATAGAAGATAGATGTCGCTTCTTAAGTAACTATTCGCTTGCCACTGCTGATGTAGAGTTACCAGGGGAATCGTTACTTCCTAGAGTAAGGCGATTTTTACATGACTGCAGCATGGAAGTTCAACTGACTGTTATTTGATTTTGATTTATCAGAATTCTAGTGGATACTTTATAAGAATAGCAAGATTTATGCCTAGAGTAGAAATTGTACATAAAGACAATTGCATCGCTAGGCGATTGTATATACGTGGACATAATGGAAAGGTAAAACAGAACATTTTAGGCATAGTATTATGATTTTACTAATTCTTATCTATACAAAATTTTTTACAGGTTTATCCCTATTTAGTTGTTAACGATATTAACCCCGTTGAATCCCGACGTGAAGAGCGATTACTTCAATTACTTAGATTACTTAATCGCTATTTTGAAAAGAGAAAGGTTAGCTTTACATAATTTTTAAATAATTAACTTATGACTTAAATGGTATGTTTATTTCTAGGAGGTTAGCAAGCGACATTTAATGTATACTGTGCCACGGGTGGTTGCAATATCTCCTCAAATGAGATTGATTGAAGTAAGTAGCATTTAATATTATGGTAGTTATTGTTGCTGAATTATTTTAACTTGTTATTATAGCCTGCCTGTGCACCAATATAAGTTACTTTTTCTAGCAAGTAGCACAAACCAATACCATATATTTAATGGCAGATTATAAACGTAATTCTGTAATTGGATCAGTTCATCATGAACGAGTATATCAAAACTTTAGCTACGATAGTTCAAACTGAGTTTACTATACATTCTGTACGTAAGTTTGTGACTTTATTGTTTTATTATGTATTAACATTTCTTTGTGTTTTAATTCAATATAGGACAATACTTCTATAATTTCATTATATGATATCTACAAGCGAGTAAGCCACAAAATATACTTGCAATAGGCTATTTTAATAGTTGATATGTACAGGTAATAGTTTACTTTTATTATCAATTTATCATGAATATAGTACTGTGGAAACATAAAACAAGATCCGTCCCTACCAGTTATTCATTACTATGAAAGTATTGCGAGCATTCAGAATAAATGTCAAGCCGTCAAATCAACTGACCTAAAACAAATTATGCAGGAGGTTAGAATTAGTTTTATAGGAATATTAAAAAGTTTATATAGGAGATAGAGTTGATGCTTTAGGTTTTATCTAAATTCTTCGATTCAGATTCAAAACGAATGTATACCTGTTCGTGTCTTCAAATCTTGGGCAATTAAAACTTACCCTAGTGCAACTGATTACTGGATGTTTAGAAAACAAGTAAGTTGTCTCTACTACGACTATGATTTAATTATTTCAGAAGGAGGAATGCACGGTATCTGTATTTCTCAATCGTTTCTTTTATCAATTCCTTACAGTTTACGAACCAACTTGCCTTACTGGGATTAGCTGAATTTGCTTTACATTTAACACCGTTAATGCCGGAAATGCTACAAATTTATCAAGATTCTGGCGATGTTTCGGCAATGTACTATACCTTTAATATAGATGACGACACAGGTAGTATGTTGTTTTCAATTTTTTTTTTTAATTTTCTGAAAAGCTATTGGCTATGAAATCGATTGTCGAAAATGAAATTTACTGTGTAACACTTTTTACGTGCAAAGGATTACTCAACCATACAAGACCAGTGCCAATGAGATTAACTGTAAACATTGACCATTTCCTCAAACCTTACTGTTCTTCTGGACCATTAACTGCAAATATGATTGCTGCATCTCGTTGCCTTGTTCAACCACAATTTAGTTTAGAGGCGACCTTTCGAATCATTTTACGTGACGAAATACTGACATGGCACAGAAAGGTAAGTAGGGGTGCATAAGTTTAATTTTAACAATTGCCTTCTAATATACGCTTCCATTAACGTGAATGTAATTGTTTTAGAAACGTTTATCCAGCAAGGATAGCGACAAAATTAAAGAATTAGAAAATAAAGAACTAATAAGACTTGTAGAAAAGAACGTAGAAGCTATCATGAACCGACTCCGAAGTAAAAGTTTAATTAATAATTATTCATATTTTTAATATATTATTATTTCAATATAACAATAAGATTCTTATTTTTTTCACTGTTTACACCTTATCAAATTTCGTTATAGATATGGCTTATTTTGAGAATGCTGAAAGTAAGGTGTCAGCCGTTATTCGTGCAGCCACTGATCAGAATAATTTAAGTCGTATGGATCCGATGTGGTATCCATGGCTATGAGGACCGAAATATTTTAGATATGTGGTGTTTTAACAATTTGACACTGTTCCGTAAAAATTATGTTTATATGAATGATGTAAATACATAGAAACATTTTAATAAGCACAATCATACTTATACTACTAATTATTGTTTCGAGTTATTACAAATCGTCATCTGTGCTGATGATATACTGTACGTATAGGAATGAGCATGCTTTTCTACGTGCGACTTTTATGTAATGATTTAATTTAATTATGAGCTAAATGAGATTTCTGAAATCTAAGCTGAACTTAGTTCGATGTCTCTATTCTTTTATAGATAGCATGTAATATTATATTGATGTGTTATGTTGTAATGTTAAAATTTGTGATAGTACACGTGAAGTATTGAAATGGAAATTTCTATTAAAGTGATGTGTTTGTAAAGCGTTGTAACCACTAATGGTAACTGTTCGCTGCAGTACTCAACTGTGTCGATATTGTATTTTATCCATTATAGAACGATAGCAGTAATTTTAAAATTGTAGACGGCCTAACGTTATAGTATATAATGTAGTTAATAATCACAGATACGGCATGCAATATCTGATTCTACACGATTATTACATTACCCTCAAACATATTACAACATCATATTGAGGTAGTTATACAGTATAGATGTAGTAATTTCAGTCAATGGTAATGCTAGTTAGACTCGATGATATTAATATATAAGTATGCAGTAAATGCTGCATTATTAGTATAAACCGAAGTTGATCGTACATCATACTTTACAGAAAACAGTTCAGTTTTTATTGTTGATTATTGGTAATGACCTGATAGTACTACAAGATATCATACTGTATAATTAATCAATTATTTGTAAAGGTTATCTGATTAATTATGTTATAATTACGTAAGTTTATCACCGTCGTAATAACAGTATTACATAACAGTAAATATCAAAATAGCGACCGTTTCATGACCTATATCACAGCCAGTTTAATCATTATTATTACAATAGTCCTATTTAAGATAGATACAGCCCAAATCCTAATGTGTGGCTTATTAGGCAATTTACGACGTTAAACTATAAACTAAATTATGCAATAGTGTATGCATCGTTAACTTAATATATGGTATTTGTTCCTTTCGGGTTAGTATTCTATAATATAAAATTGGTAACAAAATTTCATGAACATATACTGTACCTTAATAGCATGAATCACTAAAATGTACAATTTACTCTATCTTTGATAAATTTGTGATTATTTATATCGATAATATACTACATAATTTAAAAAATATTTGATAGTTGATGCATGTGAAAGAATTGAAATCATGACAATTTCTCCTCAATAAATACGAGTATTTCAATGCATATAATTCCGATATATGTGTACATTTAAAAGACAATACTAAATAATAACATGTATTAACGTTAGTGGATTATATAATACAATTAAAATGAAAGATAAAAATGATCCCTAAATAAGCATGTTGTTGAAAAATGCTCGAAGTAGAAAATTGATTTAAATCATTCAGATTAAGAAATTTGAGGTGATGGAGAGAGTTCCATGAAAAATGTCAATAAATTATCTAATCCTTTAAGAGTGTCATTATCAGGACCTATCAATTCCCCGTTAAGTTGCTGATTAGGGTTATAGTTTAACTTATTTGATATCGTATGAGAAAAATCGATCAAACGTGCATCTACATTTGTGTTACCGTTGATATTATCATTACAATAACCTTCATAAATGAGCAAAATGGAACAACCTCGAAATCGAAATCGAAAACAATCTTCTAGCGCAATTCGTTTTCTCAGCAACTGTAGCTTTTTCAACATTTGGTTATAAATATCATGTTGAAAGGTAATGCCATTATCAAAATATTGGTATAACATTCGCTTCAAACCAACTAAATCCAATGTTTTACCAAAGTATTTGTCAAAGTAGGAAAATTTTTTATCGGTCACATTGTAGGTCTACAATAGATTATAAGTTGGACAATTAATAAGTTGACATAAATCTAAGATATAGTAATCTAAAAGTTAGCGCCCTACGTAATAGTAGAGCAGAAAATCAAACGCATTGCATTGTACAATATTATAAATTATGTAGATTTGACTTTGAAATTGCACAAGTATCTGTTAATGTAATATTTTCTATCAGCATACATATTTTAAAGCTATTTTATATGTCTCTTCTTTTATACATAAAGTTAATTGGTATTTAATATTATAGCACGTAGATATCTGACAGTACAAAGTAAATAATAGCCAATATTAATCCATTAAAGTACAGTATAGTCCAATGTAAAAGGTGAAAGGGCAGTACAAAGAATCAAACAGTTACCGTACGATTTATACTGTACTCGTTTCAATAAAGTAATTCCTCCAATAATTGCGCATTCTTAATAATTTAAGATCTTTTAGTATACTCGTATATACATACAGTCGATACAATAAATTTGATTTTGTTTTTATCATGCAAGAAGTTATGAACATTGCATATTAATAAGATATATTTATAACTATCAATTTATTAGTTAATCATTAGTATTAATAAATAAAGTAAGAATATTTACGAGAAATACATGACTTACCCGATTACTTTATAATCATAGGCTATTTATATCAAATTCTACAACTGTACCTGCATTCCACCTAAGCGAACACCAAGTCTAATGGTTGATACTTTATTATATTCATCTTCAGAACGACTTTTCAGTATATTCAGTTTTTGATTCCAAGTTCCAATTTTAAGGTCAAGTATACAAGGACAACGAAATGGCTGAACAACATTCTCTAATAGAATAAATACTATTGATACAAGGGAGAAAAGTATAAATTGATGGAACAAATTAGTTCGTTGATTGATAATGTATTAAGAAGAGATAGTTCTACTAGAAAATTAAGATAAATAATACGAGGCTAGAAGTTGATCATTAATGGAATCATTAATTGATAATTAATTTGCGTACATTTCGATTCATCATTGTTCATCACTTTAACTTGTTTCCTATAATATTTACTGTTACAAGGGCTAATAGGACCTAAAGATTAAAAGACAACAATCAACATATGACAATTAGCCTTTAGCCTTTACTTGATCCATGTAAAATAATAGTTTTAGCGATATTATTGGAAGAATAGAAATTAAACCGGAATCGATGGTTGGAACATAACCAAAGAAAAATTTAGTTTTAATTCATTGTATACGCGTATACTGTGAAGTTTCTTTTAATTAAAACCTTATATCTACCATTTTTTTAAGTTCTATTAAATTTGACTCTACTACTACATAAAACATTAACGACAATTTCAACCTCTCTTCGTTATACTGTAGTATACAAGTTATGTTCTTTCATTCAATAACTCAGAAGCTACTGGAGTGCAATGCATGCCGTATAAATGAATATTAATCTATCATCCTATCTCAACAGATAACTGCTACATTAAGTCATATCAGTCAATTTTTATTCTTCCGTTTCTATTCATGAGGGATTGTAAAATAATTAGATGTCATTGCAGGGACTACTCGAGAGAAAAGAAAGTATAATTGTGACTACATCAATCGTTTTCTAACCTTCAGATTGAATCTTGGAAGGCCCATTATTTACATGTGAATTTGCCTTGGCAAAGTTCACTCTATAAATGACGACAGAAAAAAGTGATTAGCATCGAATTGTAAGATAAAGACAACTCAGAAGCGACCATTATTAAGCTTGTCATTAATTACAGTCTTTAGATTATACCATATAATCAGTTGATTTTAGTGTTGTTAACAAGTGATGGCTTAGTGCTTAGCAATTGATAGAAAATCTTATTGCTGTAAAACGTTGGCGACACAACTCGGATTATTGAAAGATTTATATAATCGATAGTCTACTGTAATTATGCTCATACTAGATATTTCTTTCGGCAGTAATGATGATCGATCACTGATGTTACAAATTGTGCAGTCAAGTTCCTGTACTATAAACTGCACGACAAAGTACATTGATTTGCGCTTTATGACAATCTATGTAAATTGTATTTATTGTACGGAGATTATAGGGTTAGTGCTGAAATTGTTATGAGGATACAATCTAATCTCTCAAAGTACTACCCACTATATAGTAAATCAAGACGATCAATGATTACTTTCCTATATTTCTAAAAGAGATACAATTGATACGTGTCGATATAAAATGTTGATATTGAATAATTAGGACCTTAAAAGCCTATAGCATTATACTCTTCTCTATAACTTTGATACCTAATCTATTAGGGTACCTAGAAGGCAATCATTGAATTTTTAAATTATTCATAGCGATATAAATTATGTACTATAATTATTTACTTGATTTCTTCGTCAGTATCAACTTGAGTCATTATTTGATGGTCAATCTCATCAGAACTGAGGCGATAAGCTCGAAAAATGGCTTTCCCCTCGACATCATTTTCGAGTAGGACATTTATTACACCTAGAAGAATAGGCAAAAATAGTACATTCATTATATTAAGTCTATTCTGTACTTTGAGCGATCGGTAATGGCAAGAATGGATTTATGACCAATGATGAATACCATTGAATAGTAACTAAAGTAAAAGAAGTAAGATTTGGTTTTATCAAAATTGCAGCTTAAACTACTTTTGAAAGTAGTGTAGTAAAATGATCTCATGGATTGTACACCAACCAACTATGCTATACAAGTTATCATTCAATGATTAGAAAGTGTTTGCAAGGAATTCCTGATAGGGGTGGAAACAATAATTCTATGAACTACGCGTATATTACAGTAGTTTAATACCCGTCTAGCAATCCTAATTTAAAATACTATCACTAAAGTATGTATGTCGCCATCCATAGTAATACAGGAAATCCAATGTCTCTCTACTATATTGACTTGGAATAGTGCATGCCTTCTACAGTCCATCTTCAAGGATATAGCGATAGCGTTTCACTTTAATAGGACTATCTCACACTAGATAAATTGACCTACAGTCAATACAACTATCCTATTTTATTTTCAATTTTTAAGCCATAGAATAGTGAATAAAATCAATTTGAATGGATAAATTGTTTGGCTAAGAGTTGTATCTAGTACGATAAGTACCGAGTTGAAAGGAATATACAATACTTTACTAACTATAAATTTACCATAAATACAAATCATCCAATAATATAGGCAATGTAACCATGAAAAGAATCTTTTTTCAATCAATACAGTAAATTGATTCAACTATAAATATGGGCTACCTCTATCTCTCCAACTACTGTAGAGCCATAAACAAGGTCAAACATTGCCTTGATCATGTGGAAAAAGGCGCTGATGTAGAGTACTGTACTATGTTATCATTGTTCATTTCGTTACAATTTTGAATAGGCAACGTTTTTCGTCCATTGCAGAATACTAGTACAGTAGATTTTGCGCTGCCAACTAGGCTGGAATGATTGTTGATTGCAATATTTTGAAGTGATAGGAAAATTGTAAGGGTTACAATTGATGTCCAATCCACTAAATTACGTCTTCTATAGTCAATATTGAATAGTTGATATTATAATATTGATTTCTGGCTTTATAATGTAGTAATTTGTAGAGTTCATTAAGCATGCAAGTCCCATCATGGTAGACAGTACAGTATGTAATGACTATGCATTGTATTTTTTAGGAGGGGGAGGGAGAATAAGGGACCAGCTCGGCGCCAGTCTCAACGGGCTTGATGAAATAAAATAAGGCTTCAATGTACTCTTTTAAAGCTGATTCAACGTTGTAGCTGTTGCAATTGATGTAAAATCCAACTCGACTATGCCTTGTATCGTGAATTGAAATCACTTGTAATCATCTATTGTGGTTGTAACTGTCTAAAGCAATCCTATCGACGTCGAATAAAGTATTGTACCATCTAGCTTTGCTACTTTGACAGTACAGCTGGTATTTTATCTCCCTTACGAGCGTATGCAATCCTTGTCAACATCCTGATTGATCAAGATAGCGTGCATTGAATGAATAGCATAACATCGCACTCTCTCATACCTAAGTATCTAGGGAGAAATGGCTCTAAGGAATGAGGAATCTCCTTATAAAAGGATAATTCAAGGATGGTCAAAAGCTTACAAACGGTGAATGGATCGTACATCAGGATACAATTATGGCCACCAACTTGATGAGGGAATTGTTGCAAGATGACCGTTTGATCTGACGTTTCCTTCTCCTCTTTGACTAAATCGATTCTTGTTTCTGTATCCATCATGATCTTTTCAACTTGGTCGATTCTTGTAGAAAACTCCTTGATATCAAGGTTTAAATCATCAATTTCAGTAGTTAAAATGTTGTGGATGAGCGTGGAGCTCTTCTCGATAGCGGCAAGAATTGGACTAGGCCACAACTTGTAGTCGTGGCAACTGCGTCTTGAGTAAGACTTTTTCAATGCTGTCAGTCAAGCAAGGCAATGGCTTTGTTTTGGGCTGTTTTTTTCCTTCAATTCTTTACCATTACTACCCAGTAGAAGGATAGTAGTATTGGTATTTAGTCTAGAATCGATGCCAAGAGCGTTTTTCCTCTTTCCTTTTGGGCACGATCAATGATTTTTAAGCTATTCCAATCGGCAATGGCCACTGGCTTGGAGACGAAATGGTCATCAAAGCGCCATCAACCAACTGTTCTGGTCAGTTGTGGGCGTCGCGCATATATGTTCTATACAGTATAGTACAGTAGGGATTGCTGAAGAGGGACGCTTGCGCAATAGCTTGCACCAGTGTCAAGACTGCCAGATTGAAAGTGGTCAGATATCCAGTCAGTGTCGAGGATGCCAGATTGAAAGTGGTCAAATGTCTAGTAAAGTTCATCGTGTGAGCGTACCTTAACCGTGTTTGCCAACGTTATCAGGACACTCCCTAGTGACGTCACACTGTACGTCAAGAGTCACATGACTGTAGTCGATCGTACACTCGTCCAGTACTGTACGAGACGAGTCGGGACCGTAATGGGTCCAGTTCGGCACGTTGATTCATTCTGGACATTTTACAGTAAGATTTCAAAGTAGATAGAAATTCCAAATTATTGCTATGTGCCTTGACAATTCTTGCATCAACAGTTGTAGCTCCATGTTGGTCTAAAGTACGGTATTTTTACCTTCATTCCAGTTGTATTTTTTTCCTTTTTCTATATGTAAAGAGAAAATAAGCGTGTAGTACTGACCATCTCCAGACTACTCAGTGTACAGTACACTGTGTACATACTGTAGGTACAGTACAAGTCCACATGCTCACAGACTCACAGTACTGTACAGTTGTACTGTACTACTGTACAGTGTACACTCTACGTCGTGGACAGATGGACATGAGTACAGTATGGAGATGCACCATCCAGAATGGCTGTGGGACTTGCCAGGAAATCTTTGCCATGATGAGAAAAGGGAAAAGGAGAACTGTATTAAAATAAAATTGAATTGAATTGAAAGGACGGAAAATGCTTGCTCAGAATTCTCCATGCGCAATAGTAGTGATAAATCATTGCTCTTCCTAGTGAACGTGCCAGTAAATTCCTTTGTGCTCTATTGTATCATGATTGATTGGGAAAAGTGTACTAGTACTTCAAAGAAAGACAAGCGGAAAATGTCCTTCCACTCTTCCAGTATACATACAGTATTGCAAAAATGGAAGCCGACGATTCCTGTACAGTGTACACATTATTCTTGCTGGTGAATGGAACTCAATCAACTCTTCAACTACACTGTAAATAAACTCAATATTGTACAGCATTGTTCTACGCTTCTACCCAGACAGTGTAGACAGTACTACAGACAGTACAGCATGTTGTTGTGGACTAAATGACAAGCCTCATTTTGAGGCCATGATAAATACACAGAAGCTGCCCACAATGACTACAGCATCATGTTCTTGTTGCTTTACAATCTCTTCTCTTGGGTCAAGTATCGCTCCATGTTGACTGTACTCTACTCCATTTCTACCGCGCATTTTGGGCTACTACACAGTACACAGTAGTCATGACATAGGCATTTCTTGAGCTACTTACTATGCGATCTTCCGTGTCTATTTTTCTTCATCATTTCTATAGAAAATTCATGATTTTATATCACTACTTTCATGCAGAGCGAAGTGAAATAGAATAGATTTCAACTAGTATTTTATTTGAAATAAAATTCCTGAATTGCACAGCACGATTAGAAATGTTTGCAATGTACAGTACAGTATTGCTGTATAGTACAGTATAGTACAGTGTCTACCCTAGTCGTGAAAATGTCCGGCCGTCCGAGTAGAGTTTCCTGTCCTGCCCTGTAGGCTGTAGCAGTCCATGGACCATGCGCACTATCATGATTGCTAATAATTGTCACTAATACTAGTGTATGGTATAGACGAATAGTACTGTACACTAGTGTACAGTGTACTCGTGAAAATGTCCGGTCGTCCGAGTAGAGTTTTCCTGTCCTGCCCTGTAGGCTGTAGCAGTCCATGGACCATGCGCACTATCATGATTGCGAATAATTGTCATTAATAGTAGTGTACTGTATAGTATAGTAGTGATACACTGTACACTGTACAGTGTATCACTAGTCGTGAAAATGTCCGGCCGTCCGAATAGAGTTTCCTGTCCTGCCCTGTAGCAGTCCATGGACCATGCGCACTATCATGATTGAACGGAGTTGTAATACGTGACTCCCTACAGTATAATGTAGTGTACATGACAGTACTGTACACTGTAAAGTACATTCCTAGAGGCGTGACGTACAGTACTCTTGTAGTGAGGCGTATGCAGTGACAGTGACGATCCATATTATTATTTTATTTTATTTTATTACATTATTATAAGCTAATAATTATCATGAATAAATTATACTGTAGAGTTCTATCCTAGTGATTCAAAGTCAGCCAACATGGATGCAGGAGAAAGTCCAAGCTCAGGCACGATCGTGAACGAATTTTTCCATCGAGTTGGTGGCCATAACACGATATATTTGTTCGATGAAACGACGATATGTAAAGCGTTATTGCCGCGAGAGTTTTATTTCTATAAAAGATTAAAAAATTCCTTGCGATCTTTTATACCAGATTATAAAGGTGCATTGAACAATTAGCTCAACTGAGGACGACTTATGGAGAGAGAACAACTAAAATAGTCATAGGATATTGACGCGTATGTTTGAAGTAGACTCCAGTAGGACTTTAATCTGCAACTTCCATGCGATACTTTTTATTACAGTAGAACTGCCGATTGATTCATTAAAGGTCCAAAGCAACGTCTTAGCCGCCACCATGTTTGCTGTATCAAACGACCATTGACAGTAATCGACATTTCCATCATACGCCGTAGACTATGCTCGGAAAAATACAGTCAATATTCGTATGGAGTAATAGACAGCGTACAGGTGGATGGATACCTTGACAGGATATCAGTCCAACTACTGTTATGCAAGAGATGCAACTCAGGATGATCCACCAAATGATTCTTAAAATACGATGTGCCATCGACTCATTCTACTCGTATAGACAGCAGTATAGTCATCTTCACAATGGCTGCATCTTCTACTCACTCAGCTGTTGAAATGATGTTAAACTTAAAACTCCTATGCTTACCTGTATACAGTACAATAATTTCAAATCCTGAAACTGCAAAATTCATCTTGCAATCCTATCCATACCACAACCTTTCACTCTGTTGGCTACAGTCATGATCTTGTGACGTAAATATACTTACCTGTCTAGAAACAGCTTAAAGTTCAGTAAACTGCATAATCAGCTTTCATACGCTTCAAGTTTGCAAATTGAACATATTGACTTAATATACGAGTATAGCTACTACTAAAGAGATGCATAGTCCGCCAATGGACATTGGACAGTAATGGATTGACTCAAAATTCAACAGCAGAAACAAATTTTCCATCATGTTGCTATACCTACTTACCTACAGTCATCCTACTTCAATACTGTACTATTGTATAAGCGTCCATTTCAAAATGCTGTTGCTGTATATGACTTTTCTTTTAGTATGATTGACAAAAGTAATGAATTGTTACACTCTTTTAACATACATGTACACTATGAGGATATACACTCATACATTGGCTCATCTAGATATTGAATAACGTTTTCTTGTCATCGTCTTTTATGTTTCAACATGAAATCTTTACATTGGACAGGTATCGTAAAAATTGATATGAAAGATGAAGAAAGAATACGTGCTTATCGAGTAACAGAAGCTGATTTATCTGCTACAGACTTGGACTTTACAAAAGAATATTTCTCGCCTGAGTAAGATTATACACAGTACTTACTTTTCTCATCGCTACTACAAGCGATGTGCATCAATTTGCTTTAAATAACTCGTATAGTGTCTATTGATATTATCAACACTGTATCAGCCAACATCTTGATCGTCTTGTTCATTGCCATTGATTCAATTAGTAGAGACGTTCCAAATATTGTATAAATAACTAGTATTCAAAATGATTGAATCACTTTCATGTATACGTATAGAGTAGTAATCACCTTGTATCATATCATCATAAATAATCCACAAGAGTTTCCAATCTTAGCTATATCAACATCATTGTTGTTCTATTTAGGATCGTCAATGATATCTATAAGAAAGAAGAATCTTGCGATACATCAAAAAGTGACAAAGGTAATTATTCGAAAAAAGAGATTGGCTAGTCGTAATTTATCCTAACTGTTCTACATATGAATAACCTGTTATAACAATTGAAATGGATCAACCTATTCGTAATTACCTATTGCACTCCATTCAAATGTAGAAATCAATCAACAGACCACTAGTAAAGGACCAGAGTGTAGCTCACAAGGTCTCGCAGATACTGACAAGTTAGAATGTATCCTTAGAAATTTTTTAGAAACTTTCCAATCTTTCGTAGCCCGTCCTTGTTACCAGCTTAACTGATCAATTATAATCAACGTTTATCATTACCATAATGATATTTGCTTAACTGAAGATTCAGCATACATTCTTTTAGAGAATGTATCCTCCAAATTTATCAATCCTTGCATCTTAGATCTTAAAATGGGCACAAGACAGCATGGAGATACTGCTTCCAGCGTAAAAGCTCAGAAGCAAATGGAAAGGACTAAAAGTACAACCTCCAGCAAATTAGGTGTTCGTATGTGTGGCATGCAGGTAGGAATTGACAACAAATCTTATCCTGTTTATCATATTGAATTATATAGTTGCCAATAAGCTTTAGATTAATGCTAAGAGATAACATTTACAAGCGTTATTTTGATCAAGTATGAAAATCATGATTAAATAATACTACTTTATTAGTAGAATATTTCAAATTACCACTGATTGAATAATAGATAAGTCGTATGTACACTACGGTATAAAACGTAATAATTTTCCTGCATTAAAGAATACTAAAAAATACCATTGTGTGCTAATAGATCTATAGCGAAGCAGAAAGAGCGTTCCGTCGTCGTGATAAATATTACTGCCGATCATTATCTGTTGAGGGCTTTAAACATCATTTATATGAATTTCTTTGCAATGGTACTGACAAATTGCGAGTCGACGTTTGCATTGACTTTCTGCAAAGACTAAAAGAAATGAAACAAGTTATAGAGGAACACCGTGGTTACCGATTTTTCTCCAGTTCTTTACTTTTCATCTACGAGGGCCAGCTGGATAGCCCAGGTAAGAATCGCACCAACAAGGCTGACATTGATATTCGTATAATCGATTTGGCTCACACAACTTGTGATAGGTTGCTCCATAAATTGCCTCCTTATGAAGGTCCTGATGAAGGATTTCTCAAGGGACTACAAAATATATACGATTTTTTATATGAATTTGTTGAACGAGAACGAAAAATTTAGCGTATGAGTTCTTTCTCTAAATCACCTTTAGTCGAAAGCAAGATATTTTTTACGCGGCCATATCGAAGGAAGTAAAAGTTGAGTTATATTTATCAGTTGTTATGCCTATAGAAAGAACATTATATTAATTATCAAGCTGCATCGTTATTGGACTTTGCGATTCTACTGCCTTATATAGATAATTGCACTTAGAAATGTAATCAATTCCTCATCGTTTACGATCAAATATATAATATCCGATTTTAATAGCTTGTCTTATAGTAAATGGATGTACCGAAAGTCTTCTGGCCTTCATATGGAATCAGTAGGCAACGTTGAGTTTTACCTATCTTTTCCAAAAAATAGAAGATTCATGCACAATTACATGTTTCTATATTGTTATTATTTTTAATTACAATATAACTTTACATTATCAACTTATAGTACGCCTTTGATAACTTTCGACTTCATTTTTAGTCGTTTTTATTCCGACAAACACAGCCTATCCATATGTATATGATCGAGCATCCTAATAAGGATTTCAAATAATACATTTTAATATTTTGTCAATAGTCAATACCGTTAGACATGTACACGTAACGAAATTAGGGTTAATCCATCTCTTAGCATAAAATTTAGATTCTGCGTTTAACGTGACTTCATTGAAGTAAATAAGTTCAAGTTATGCTGCAGAATGAACTCATGATAGACTCTTACATTACAACTAGACACATTACCCACTGCACAGTGACTTATTTTCAATATTGCTGCATATTATCCCAAGTTATTACTGGCATAAGATCGAAAAAAGATTATGACATTTCTGTATTGCGTTCTAATGCTATAGGTATACTAATTTATGACCATAATAATTATAATTTAGAAATTTATTTGAAACTCGTAAGAGGTATGTGAATCTCTGTAGAGAGCATTTAAAATGGCTGTATTGTGTATTCTATTGAAACTATTTACACATCCTTTTTAAGAATATCTTCAACAGATTATAAATATGTATATGTTAATGACCTTTTTTTATACGACCATGTAAATCTACAGGATGTAGGGATGTTGAAATTGGTTATCTTTTTAAGTATTGTCCAGAATTATAAACACGTACAGTAAGTACTTGGGTTTATTTCACAACGATAACAAGACTTTTCTTATTGTAGACAAGTACTCACTGTGCCTAGGATGGCCTATCCTCAATAAACAAAAATGAAAGATGAATAGTATCCCTTGGAATACTGTATTTTTTATCTTTGTTGGAGTCTTCACGATCAAGTCGTGGATTACTAAAAGTATCCCTTGATGCGTGTATTAATAATAGTTACTTCTAAGCTATTCTAGACTACTGTTCACAATGATGTCGAGACCGAACATCGTGATAACTTTATTACAGTATTAAAAGGTTATAGGATATTAGCAATAAAAGAGACTATAACCAATAGTAAAAAAGTCGTCTAGTATTCTTGACTTAGCAGATCTGAGAGGCTACTTTAGCTCTCCCTCCAAGACCCTTTATACCATTCAGGTCTTCGTGGTTTGTCAACGTATTTTGGACAAATCTCTAACACAAAGATTCCCATAACTGGATTAACATTTATTAACATGTTACTATAAACTTTGGCTGTCGCTAATCGTGCCTTGTTTTCATCCTCTTGACTCTTGATTTGGTCTTTCAGGGCCAATCAGGTTCGCCTTGGCCTCACAGCTTCATCTCGCTCTAAGTAGATAATTACATATATATATATATAATCCTCGGCTTGCGATGTGATCAATCAGAATTCAATCAGCACAGCTAAACAACGGTCTCGCGACCGATCTTACATAGCGCTAACATTAAATCTAAAAACATCTAATTCTAATACAGATCATGATATTACATACACGTCTCAATACTACCATGAGTAATTCGGGTCTATGCCAAGATGAACATATACGTTCGTAGATCAAGTTATTCTATCCATAAGCTGCAGATTGATTTATTCTATCATAATGCAAGTCATAGCAACCCTATCAACTGTAGCGAGCATGGTGAGCATCAAGTCTGAAAATTGTAAAAGCAAATATACCTGATATTCTCCTCTATACCTTGCACTATCGAGCTCGACATAATTAATATCCTTATTCCCTACAGGACTACAGTTCAAATAAGAAAGAGAAATTAGCCTGTTTGATTGATTTTCTATAGTATAGTTATACGGTTTCAACGGTAGCGTATACTATCAATGAGGCAAAAATGACCAAACTGGTATAGTACTATACTGTATCATGTACTGCTAAATGACCAGTCATTTCCTCTAGTAATAATCCAACCACTTTATACGATAGACTGGACTGGACTAGAGACATTCGATGAATGAACGCCTTGGCTCTTAATGGCGAAGCGATTGATGAAGAAATTGGTAAATTAAATCTTGTAGAATCATCTCTTTAATCTCCATTAATCATTAATTCCATACAATTAGTAATAGTACGGTATCATTCTACTGAATTGTCAAGATAGAGATACTTAACTGTATTCAATTCTTGGACGAACCTTGATTGAAAGTATCGTAAAGAATCTTATGCCTGGTCTTGTTATCCTTCTTCTAGCCACTTTCTAATTCGAGCAATTTGGACATAAGAATGCTAGCATAAATCCTTGCTTAAAATCCATCGAAGTAAAATAAAAGTCAAGAAAGAATCTTACGTGAAATCTTGCTATCCTCCATTCTATCCGTATTTCAACAAGAGCAACACTGTGCCTATCAGTGCTCGAAAATATTGGCTACGCTGCTGCTATTTACTGGCCTTAACTTTTTCTATCTTCAGTTTGGCTCACGGTAATACTTGATTGCCATGGCAAACCAACCCGAAAATGGCTTATCGTTATCATCAATTCATAATAGCTTTCCAATTGAAGTCTTACCAGCAGTAATTGAAATAGTGTGGGGTAAACAAATACAGCCCTCTATTTTTCGCCGCTGGTGTCAAGGTTTGTATTCTACCTGCATTCACGGTCATCTTATATATTAAAGAGGATGTCATATTTAGATTGTAAGCAAATACAGCCCTTATTTTCCACCATTGGTGTCAAGGCTTGCATTCTAATGTGCATTCACAGTAATATTGTGTTATAGGATATCGTATTTAGATTGTATTCAGTGTCCGAGCAGTGTGCATGTTAAGCAGCAGTGAGCTACTGAAACAGAAATCAACATTAATTTCCATTACCATTCTTTTGCCTTCAACCTGTCACAATGATGTACTGTACGAATGTCATGGCGTGAATCCGTTCGCTATAATTGCGGATATAAGTTTAACTAAAACTAGATGTCTTTAATTCTATGGTTATTGTTGAACCATACTTCTACCACATACTGTATAATGCAGTACATTCGTAGGTTGAAAAAGTACAATTTTTCAATTTTAGTGCCATTTGATTACAATCTAAGTATACTCCATCCTAACTAGATAGCTCGTCTATCCTCTCTCTTCTTTGATCACTATCGAGGAGCAATAATATTAATTAACTAACGCATAATGCATAATGTTATATCAATATCTCACAGGTTTCACTTTCAGCCAGCATGAACCTAGCGCTTTAATCCAACATCATGGTGGTCCTTGCGCGATTATTACTGCAGTTCAGGTAAAGAGAAACTAATCTGTTTATATGCTACTGCAATCATTGCTGCAATTAATTGAATGGCGGAATAGATTAACATCAAGGAAAGATAACAATGTCACTCCCTAAATCTTGCTCTTCTGTAATTACGTTTAAATAGTCATTAACTATTATATATATACAGGTGTTATGCAGTAGTAGTAATTTAAGAATACAGACGTATATTCTTCAAAAAATAAATGTTACACTCGATCCTAAGACTTTCTTAAACTCCCAATGATATATTCTTAGGATTGAGAGTAATATAGACTCCTTATTACAGTAGCTGTAAGCACTTATGTAAAAAAATTCATATTTTAATACTAGAAATACAATCAAAAAGTTCAATTAAACTTTTCAACTAATATATTATTTTCTATTCTATTGATCTAACACATTTGAATATCAAAATTTTATCACGTTAATAGGCAAATATCTTACTAGAACTACTATTTAGAGAAAAAACTAGCGGAGATATATCATGGAATCATTTAAATGGTATAGTTTATATAAAACTATTGCGCATAGATTAATTTAAAACTTGAATGCATAAAAGTTCTAAAATTAATTTAAGAGAAAGCAAATATAGAGATTATCTAACAATCGAAACAGATATACGTATTCTCACTTTATGTAAACTGAATGTAACACTATACCAACTAAAATTCATCCATCTATCTTCTTGTTCGTTATTAGATGAAGAAGTAAATCAATTACTGGCAGGAGCGATATTTCATATTATTAAATCACTGCAGGTTGATCGTTATATTATCGTTGCATTGCCCAAAAATTCAACAGATAACGGTAATAGATTAAAATTATGCTGCATTCATAAAATCGTTATTTAAAGATTAAAAATACCACTATTACTTTAAAGTACACCTGATTATTTTTCGACTCTTTCTTATTTTTAGAATCTAATACCAATCAAGAAATTATAAATGTTGAAGATTTTCATTTAAAATTAAGGTATTCTGTAACGATAATCTCTGTACATGTATATTTATTTCATTAGTATAGAATTTATAATAGCTATAAGAAATATACTATAATATACAGTACCTTCATTTTTTTCGAGCATTTGCTACGCAATGAATATTTAATATTCTACAAAGTAACAGAATTATTACTGTTGTACGAATCAAGGCAATGGATATTTAATGACACAGAATCACTTAAAACATGGATACGAAATGAACTGCAGATATTTCAAGGCCAATTTGGTGTTCTGTCGTTATTATATTCAGTTATTCTGAGTAAAGGCTTGGAAAGCATTCAAAATGATAGAGAAGAAACAGCAGAACCATTGATCGATCCAACCTTTGGTTACGGCAGGTCTTGATATTTCTCCTATCTACGATTTCTTAAAAGTTTATGCCATTAACGCAGCCTTTTATACTTTAATATGACGCAAAAATTGAATGAACACTCAAAATTTTTTCAACAGCCAGAGTTTAATAAACTTGATGATCACTGGAAGTGCAGTCGCTAATATTTGGGATAACACTAGAAATATTGACGGATTAGGTAAAACTTAATCACGCTATTTTCTAGATACTTTGCAGTACTTAATTGGAAAAGTGATTGTCATTATTGAGATTATTTTGTTAATTATATAATTATGGTAGTTCTATTTGGTATACAAAAACAGCCACAAATTGGATTCTTATCACTAATGGAACATCTTAGATACTGTGAGGTAATAATCTGATAACAAAGTTAATATGTGCGATGCGATGTCTGATGTATCATGCGCAACTTGTAATGCTTTGCAATAATTTCTTATTTTATTACGTTAACATGCGTCATATGCTTATAGGTAGGATCTTTCCTCAAAAATCCTGCTAATCCTATTTGGATTTTAAGCAGTGCTGAACATCTAACTGTGCTATTTTCGACGGTAAACGGACTATGTCGAGCATAAAATAATATTGTTAATAATTAGTTGATTGTGCATTTTAAATTTTTTCTTGATAGGATCGTTCGTTGGCCTGCACTGAAGATCCTAGGAGTGAAGCTATAAGAACTTTTTTGAAATACGACGAAACTGGTACAACAATAATCTAAAAGTATAAGATCGATAGCCTCAATCTGAAAAGCTTCATGTATTAATTAAAAACTAGAGAACGGCTTCATTCCTAATGAAAAGCTGGGAAATGTAATGGAGGAACTTGGACTAGAGACTGACATTGAATAGTAAGAGACATATGGTACAATGACATCTAATTCAAATGTTAGAAATGTCATAAATTTTATGATATTCCATAGTGTATCTTATATGGCTAAATGCCTGGATCAAGATAGCCTGGGAATTATTTTACTCAAAAATTTTTTAAACGAATTTTTCCCTAGCGTAGAGGTAAGATTAATGAGCTTGATAATATTGTCCGCATGGGAAGGGACTCTCATGCTAGAAGTTTTACTGGACGTTGTCTTAAGTCATCTATTATAATTAGTAGCGTCTTTCATACAATGCTCATGTTTCGTTATATTTCTTTAGAGTGATTCAGAATTCACTAAAAGTTTTACATTGTATCATTATAATGGCTTACAAAAGTCGAATAGAGATGGAAAGGTAACATTTTTTACGTATGAGTTTTCGTTCTATAGTTGGGATTATTTGCTATCATAAACTATGGTATTGTAATTTTGTAACATGATAATATAGATTGAGTAGATGTATGCGTGTGTTACAGTCCTACGGCATAAGTTGTAATTTATTTTATCATGCTTTTCTTAAGAGTTGTAAGAAGTTGACGGATATCGAAGATTGCTAAATTTTAATATAGAATTAATTTCTAATGCTTAGGTAACATACAATGAATGCATAGCAACAACTTCGGGTGACGATTGTAATCTACCGAACAGCAATGAGGAACAATTTGTCCAATGCCTAAAAACTAAATGGAGAAACTTGTTAAAGTTAGATCCATCCAATGGATATCCGTCACTAAACTGATGTATAACCATGTTGTGATATCGATAACAATTGGAAAATGAATTTTTTATAGAGATTTTAAAGAATTTCTTTTTAAATATGTGAAGTATTCCATAAGATTGTATAACAAATATAAGAAATTTATTTATAAATTTGCTGAAGGGCTGAAGAAAAAGTTATCAAATTTTTGTGGTACGCATTCGTATATATATACAGTATAAAAAATCTACTGATTAGTTGACATTTATACCGGAGTAATAGATACAGTCTAATTTCGTTTACGCAAACGGATAAAATGTTGAGAAAGAATTATTTATTAGCTGAATCTCTCTACAGCTTTAACTGCTTCTTTCAATTTCCATACCAAATCCTGATAAATATATAAAATGTACTTGTTACCAGGGAGTCTAAAAATAATGTCATGGTCAATCAGTTAAGAAGATACCTGTAATTCTTCTACACTACAACAGAATTGTACATCCTTTCGGCTTTCGTTCTGATCCTAACAAGATATCACTTTTACAGTTAATAAAGTAAAGGACTTATTTGAAACAAATTTCAATTTATTATTCCAACAATCTTCCAGTTTACAATAGTCACTTTTTTACCTCAACTTTGAAGTTGATTGTGTAATTGATAGCATTTATCTTTTCTAAGCTGTTGTTCTATTTCAAATCAGATAGTTATAACATTGTTATGTGTGTAAAGCCAATAAATAATGTTACATCATTACTGCTGACAAATAGTATTGAATTGAAAAAGTCTAAATAGGGAAAATTGCATGTCTGTAAAATATTATAGGTGCTGTTAGTTCTACCAATTGTACGATAACAATAGAGGTATCGTATGGCAATTTATTGAATGGGTTAAACCGTGCTATAAATTATTGCGTAGTACATTACCTTAATTACGTAGTCCATCCTCCATTCGGTATTTACTATATGAGGCAATCTGAATGATACACTGAAAACAGAAAACCATAAATGTTGCCAATTTATAATTCTCTCTCTCTCTATATAATCTTATCAAAAATAATTCAATCTAATGGCAGACACTGTAGGAATGATATCACAACAGTAGCTCATTGATGTTACTACTCGTCAATAGGACACAGTAACGTATCATGAATGTTTATATCATGCTTTTAGCTAGCAAAGATACTAGTAGTGATATTCTCCAAACCTACCCTCCAAGTATTTGTCTTACTTGCTGCTTATGTTGCTATAATTCATGATAACAATAATACAAAGTTTTAATAACTTTTTTATATTACAAATAAGCGATGCCTTTAAAAATTGACCAATATTTCCAACAGGCGTAAGTTATACAGTATAAAATAAAAGCTTCAGTTGCTAGAACTATTACATCTTTATAGACTATTGGCATATTTACAGATGGCAGCATTTTCCATATGATTACAGTTGTCAATAATGCAGTACAATTCCTAATAAGTCGCTAGGGCATGAATATAGACAAGGGTGCACAAGTACGAGTGCACATATACCGCTCTGTAGATAAGTTTTCATTCTACGTACAAAGTATATACTTGTAAAACAACTTGTCCTTTCCGGGGTAAATTTACAATCTTCAAGCATCGTACTATAAAAATGAATTGACAAATGATTCGATGATAAATGTTACCATGCAATAAAACTTTTGATTATTCCGAATGCCAAAGTATGAATTGATTATACTAGCATGCACTAGGTAGATGATTCTTTTTGTATCCTAAACATGACAGTATTAGCAGAATGTCTATCATCTGTCCATAACTGAGATTCTAGAATAGTACAATGGATACGTACTTCACAGTAGCAGAAGTGGCATCTACTCTTGCACATTCCACGATGAAGGTGATAAGAGACGCATAAGCCTGTTTTAGAATGCTTTTATCACTAATAGACGCTAGTGATGTTGTTTCTGAAAGTAACATAGAATGTTTATCAGCGGTTCATTATGGTGAAAGTACAGGTTGGATGAGAAGTATCAACCTTTCTTAACCATGGTAATCTAATGTATATGTCGTAAACTGTATCATATAAAGTATTGGCAATATTGGCCAGTTCAAACGGGTATAGGCACACCAACTGTCTAAAAATACATACATTGTCATCTCTAGCGAGTTATTGCTAAATGTTTATACTGTACTAGGTTATAAGTAATTTAGACATGGCAATCCTATAAGCAAGTCTACGTTATAAACTCTGCACGTCTATATGTCGTCTACGAATATGAAATACGCGTATTAACAATATTTGTCGTCATGCAATAAGTATAGATTGCTAAGGCTAACTGGAGTACCCGTTTGTTCCAATTTGTATATTGATATCGCAGTAATTCCTATACAGTTGTCAACAAGGGATAATTTTGTGTCGATATATAGATACTGTAAACTGATCTATTTGCATCGATCGAGTACTGACAGAATACAATATAAAAGAGATATAGACTACCAAGGCCAACTGTACAAAAAGTATATTGCTATTTGTAGCAAGCTATTGCTGATCGTGAGTGAATATACATGTCTTGAACGATCACCAACTTTCTAGGTCACTTTCAGCATTCTCCTTCAACAGAATACCAAGAGTTATTTGGCACAGATCTTGAAAAGCTCGATCAGAAAAGTAGGATGAATTGGAGCAAGTTTCAAGCCCTTCCAATACTTTCTTACTGACTTCCATGGCTAATTTTTGACCTTGTTAATTGTGCTTTGGACAACTGGCTGTGGTCGTCGTTAATCCGCTACCAAGTTACCAACAGGCCCACTTTGGCTTGCGCAGTACGTTCTAAGCACCCGTAGCGTACTGTACCGTACCGTACCGTGGACTACATCCAGTAACAGTGTACTAGAAGGTCTCTAGTGTACTGTATTGTACTATACAAAACCAAGTAAATCAGGCTGTGGTCGTCGTTAATCCGCTACCAAGTTGGCAACAGGCCCACTTTGGCTTGCGCAGTAGGTTCCAAGCACCCGCAGCGTACTGTACCGTACCGTGGACTACATACATCCAGTAACAGTGTACTAGAGGGTCGCTAGTGTTCAGTACTGTACAAACCAAAACCAAGTAAACCAAGTCGATTGATTATATGGGTTATAATTAATCGACTTGATCCAGTCCACTTAGCATGATAGCAGCATCAGCAATTCAATATGTTAGCAGCTAGTTTGGACGTCAGACATGCGATACAGTTAAAATGACCTGTAAAAGAATCAATCAGTCTCCACACCTTGAGTCCACTCAACGATCGTTTCCGCCCCTCTCTTCCCTATGAAAGTTGGGGAGAATTACAAGGCCGTACGTACTGTAGCAGCGTACTGTAGCAAGAGGTTTTGTATACTCTTTTTACAGTACATCGTACTGTACTTGACAGTGCACAGTGCACAGTGTACAGTATAGTGAATGCCGCTAGGTACTATATACTGTAGTACCTCGTCTTGCTTGTGGATGAGATCATCGACAAAATGTCCTCTCGTAGCCGAGGGTTATGCGAAGACGCATCCAATTTCGCCAAGCAAGCTATCGAACAAGATACGGCTGGCCATGTTGCTTCTGCAATCTTTTATTATTCAGAAGCAGCTGAAGCACTGCTACAAGCCGCTTATCTCGATCCAACAATGGCTGTCAGCACCAATAGGAAAGCTTACGAATATTTAGAAAGAATAGAAACATTGCGTAGTGGCCAAGGTAAACCATTCCAATCGCTTGTTGTCATAAATTGAGCATCTAAAACCATCATAAATTTCTCTCGACCAGTTTATAAACTATTGAAATGAACAATACGCACAGGAAAGCATGAACCTCATTTCATTGCTGTTATGTATTATCATATAGACTGGTTATGTCTAGGAATTAGGGCAGATAAATTGCATAGCTGCCTAACTGACAAGATAACCGTATAAGACTAATACCGTAACTGTATTGACACGTTCACTAGTAATTTACTCACACGTATGTAATATATATATGTCACTTGTGGGAAAGGCAACCCGGAATAAAGAAGTGGACTTCACGCTGCAGGCTACTTTGCAGTGTCTAACCGAGTATTGCTTGATTGGCCTAGTGTTGCGATAGAGAACATAACGATTGCTCTTTCTTCGAGAGAGAAAATTCATTCTATCCATTCCTTTCATTACCATTTTGCGATTACTTTCACTACAAATCAAAGCCGCAAGACTGTACACAACACCATACGATACTATAGTATTAGCTGTATAGGACATATTGTGTCATATAGTAAACACACTAGGGTGATGGAACTGAAGAAAACGTAAACAAATAGCATCAGTACAGCAATTCTACTCATTGCAAATCATAACCTACATGAATAACAATCCTCTAATACAGTCATGATTCTACAAGGACGCAATCAACATTTAAACGCTTTCCTCTCTATTTACGATCGTACAGTATACACAATAAAATACCTCTAAAATGGTAAGACTTTCAATTCTTCTTCTACTTCACATTACTGAGTGTACAGTACTTGCACAATTTTACGATCTGACCTTCAAACGCGATGGATTTTACAACGACTCTACAAAGATTGGAAGATTGGCATATTCAATACTATGCAACCAATCATCCTTATCTTACTATACTGATCGATGATATTAAAGTGTATTTTTTGGTACTCTAACTACCGTGGAATGGAACATAGTCAACATACTCGCATATCTATAGATTGATATAATTACATAATTATCATTATTATTATTGATCCAATTCAGCTGAAATCCGCTCTTGCTAAACGATTACCTTTGTATTATGCTCTAATTATTTTGCTATATTGCGTAGTTATCGCATATTGAGCTGGTTTCTTTGATAATATGTGATACGGTGTACCCTCTATTTTGGGAAATTATCACTATTATCTAGCAAGTACAATATCAATACAGTAGTTGTATTTAAACTATTGATATGCATCATACTTATTATCTACTGCTATACGTATAACATGACGTAGTTGCTCCGACTGCACCACCAATGACGACCGATGCTAGATCCGAACAGCAGGTAGTGCGATATCAAATTATGAAAGCTTCATAAATGTCATAAACATAAGTCTTTCAAAAGAAATCAATATTATCATTTATGATTATAACAGAGCGATCTAGAAAAGGTTGAATTTCTTATGAAACAAGCACTATTAGAAGATGAACGTGATAGAAGTGATGATGCAGAGCCTTTATACATGGATGCTGCAGAGCTATGCTTGAGAGTTGTAGGTTATAGTATAAAAGAATTCATTGCAGGCTTACAGCGAATAATTTATTAATCCTTAATTTCAAATTTTTATCCCATATATATATTGCATTCATAAAATAGAATCGCTTAATCTTAATCTACAATCAATTAGGAAAGTATTATAGCTATGCTTATCATCATCATCGTTAATATATTGTACTAGAAATCAACTTGTTCTGATCCAACTGCGATAAAAAAATTGGCTCTTTTAGCTAATCAAGCTGTCGATCGGTAAAATTAAACTACCTATCTATACTATGCACGCGTAGTACAGTATTTAAATTAGAAACTATTTTATCCTAAGCAATATCCTAGCATATTTACTTAATACAATTTCAACTTGCATTTACATTCAATACCGTAAAATGATAAGTAAAATTTTTTATGTATGTTATTTCTCTCAACTGGTAAATTTAAACTGGTAGAATCGAAGTAATTAGAAAATCAAGAAAATCCACCAATGAGTCAAACTCTCCTCTAAAGCAGTTAGGAAACACTGCAGCTCACTTAACAAATAAAGTCAGCACTAGCAACCAAATTGGCAGCTTTTCCTTTCCTACAGGTGCTCGTATTACACCTAACGAAAACGCTGCTAGTGGCACAACTAAGAAATTAGGATCAAAAGAAATTGACGTTCTAAAGTATTGTATACGCTTTTGCATCATTCGCTCCTCATACTCAGTGTAAATGGTATACTGAAGTAGTATATAAGATTTTTATAATATCTTTACCACTTAGAAAAACTTCCTACATCAATAACAAGGTTTATCCGCCATGGCTAGATGGGGAAGAACTACATGATCGATTTGCTTATCCGGTAACATTTATGTAAGTGCGGTTTTCGTGATTTTTAATGAAAATTCTCGATGTGGATTCTTACCACGGCTACTAGTTTATATCCGATCTTTATGCTTAGCTAGATAATATATATGGTGTATACACCTTGCAATACATAAACACAGAATTCTTTATTAATACATACCAAAATTAACCTTTTGTGTACAAAGAGACAAAGATGGAGCCCTTGCATTATCTCCAAAGCAAAAAGCGAAATTTCGTAAATGGGTTAGGTATGTTAGGAATCGACGCAAAACTATTTATATAATTAGACTTGGACTTAAATTATAGTATGTATGTTTATCTAATTTCTTATTAAGGAATAGTAATTACTATAAATTCTTTTAATATGTTAAAGACCGTATGATCTCTCCCAAGATCCTAAAATCATACACGTCATCTCAAGTTTTAGTATTCGACAGGTAACAATTTTACTATGCCATTTTTGTTAATTTAATGCTAACAGACAAGAAATGGACAAAATAAAATATATCTAGTAACAATTGATGATACCCTCATCATGATCTTTCAGACAATTGTATCTGATTGTTCCTTCGTAGCATCACTTGCAGTTAGCGCTGCTTATGAAAGAAAATTTAGAAAACAAATTATAACTAGGTACTATATTGAAAGATATAAATCACTTACCAAAATTTACAGGCATTTACTAAAATTTTACTTTTCGTAAATTTTCCTGCTATTACGTCATGTAGCTGTATTTTCCCTCAAGATAAACAAAAGAGGCCTATCGTTAATCCATGTGGCAAATACCTAGTCAGATTAAACATTAATGGTATACAGAGAAAGGTACAGCTTTTAAATTGTGCTTGACATTTTATTTTAGACATGTTCTGCATATTTTAGCTATAATTTCCATATTTAAAAAAACTTCAGTATTATCATGTTAATGTTGCTGTGATATTTTTTATCATCATCAGATTGCCATTGACGACACGTTACCTTTGGGTAATGATGGCCAATTACTTTGTTCCTTTTCTCACAATCGTGACGAGTTTTGGGTTAGCCTTATGGAGAAGGCCTACATGAAGGTTCGATGAAATAGATGTGATTAGTATCTCATCGAGAGTAGCTTATTTGCGGACTATAACACACAAAATTTATACCCTATATAACATAACAATATAATATAGGTTATGGGTGGTTATGACTTTCCTGGATCAAATTCAGTAAGCAAACTTCTTTTTTAAGTAATAACTGGCTATACTGTAAGCTAAATGTCTAAACACCATTATTATCTCCTACTTAGAATATTGATTTACACGCATTAACTGGATGGATACCTGAAAGAATAGCAACGAAAAATGAGGAGTCATTTAAAGCTAATTCAGTCTTTGCTCGTATAAAAGATGGGCTAGAGAGAGGTAAAACAATACTTTTAGAGTATATTCGAACACATTCTTTATTTTTTAATGTCATCAACTAGCTTACATACGACAATACTACATTCTGTATAGGTGATGTCCTGGTAACTGTCGCTACCGGTGCATTATCAAATACAGACACTGAAAGAACTGGCCTTGTATCCTCCCATGCGTATGCGTTATTAGACGCAAAACAAATTAAGGTTTTTATCTGTTTTAGAGCACAAGCAGTAACAATATTGATGTCTTTTGAAGGTCTAAAATTGAACTAATACTAACCGCTACATCACTTCACATGCATAGGATATCAAGCTTTTCCAGCTAAAAAATCCATGGAGTCATCTACGTTGGAAGGTATTGGCATCGTTGACATATTTTATATTAGAGGATTTATTAATACTTGGGCTATTGCTTTGCTCAAATAATCTGAAATATTCCAGGGAAAGTATTCAGAAACTGATACTGTTAATTGGACACCAGAGCTAATTAAGGCCCTAAATTATGATTTAGATCGAGCAAAGACGTCTGATAACGGTAATTTGATCTCAAGCTGTTTAATACACTTCTAGTGCAACAACCTAATTATAATAATCATCAACTTATTTTTATTTAGGAGTATTTTGGATAAATTTAGAAAGTTTGTGCCACTTCTTTGATGTAATTTACTTAAGTTGGAATCCGAAACTGTTTAAATATCGTTATACTTTGCATGAGTGAGTGTATTTTCGGATAATATTTTTGGCAAACATCATCTCACATTTGATGTAATGTATCCTAAGATTCTTAATATCGGATCTATTTTAACAGTGTATGGCATGCCGGTAAAGGTCCAGGAAAGGATAGTTTTAATCTTGGTAAATAGATTTTTAAATTATTTACTCATCTATACCTATGATTGAATACTTGTGTTGATTACTACGTATGTGATATTTCTTTAGGCGATAATCCTCAGTATAAATTAGAAGTTATCGGTGGCACTGAAAAGCCTATCGTATGGGTGTTACTTACTAGGCATATAGTAGATAAGGTAATTTTTAGTATTTTCCAATAGGAATTATCGATTCAACTTATGAAGATCATTATCCTTTTTGTAATATACAGGAAGACTTTGCTAATAACCAAGAATTTATCACTATTCATGTATATAAGACTGATGGATCTAGAGTATACTATACAGGTATAACTAATTTTTATTATTTTATTATTATTAACCAATAATTACAATTTAAGAAACGGTGACTTTAACATGCATATACTGCATCTAATTTTACTAGACAATCCATTTAGTCAAGGGACAAAAATTAATAGCCCCCATTATCTAGCGAAGCTAGATCTTCCAACAGGATACAGCAGCTATACTTTGGTTATTTCTCAACACGAGAAGACTAATACCATTTACTATACATTGAAGGTAGCGAGACTATTAACGAATTACTGACATAGTATCAACGTTACTTCGAAAATACAGTATCCGTATACATTGTTAATCTACTGGAGACTTCTCCAATTATTAATTCGGTCTGCGGATAACAATAAATTGTCGATAGGTATACTCATCCACAGAATTTAGGATTGGTGAGATTGGCAATCCATATATCTGCCAGAAACGTGTATGTAATTGGTAAATTATAATTTCTAATGTCTTCAAAAGCTTAGATAGTTTCCTAAATTTTGTAGATTGTAGGTGAATGGACTACTCAAACTGCTGGAGGATGTTCAAATCATCCAACTTTTAAGCTAAATCCTCGCTTTAAAATTTCATTTCCTACTCATGTCAATAAAAAAAATCGCATTTTAATCCAGTTAAAGTTACCCAGGTATGTTTGTTTAAAATAGCGTGACATACTATTTTACTGTACCATTACAGCTAATGCACTACGTACGTTATATCTTGATACGCTTATTTTTTAGAGAATATTATGGTGGATTTAATGTTCAATCAGAAGCGCCTGGTGAGCGTGGCTCAATATATAAAAAATCGTCAGGAGCTTACAGGTATAACTGATCAAATTTCTTTTTGATTATCAATTTTAGAACTTGCTGTGTGTGACATAAACTAAGCAATTAATCTGCTTTATTTTTTAGGAAAGGCTTTGTGGTTAGTGAATTAACTGACGCACCATCAGATGGACCTTTACTAATAATTCCCTCCACTTTCGATCCGGGATGCTTAGGCAAATTTATTTTAATAATTTCGGCTGATTGCCAAATTAATTTATCGGAACATAAATGACTTTCCTAATATCTACAATATCACTACACACATTTATCCGTAAATAAACTATATCAAGTAAAAATCGTAAAACTGATTAATAATGCTGATACATTTAAAGTTATCGTCATCTATCACAATTACACAATGTTTTAAAATAATTACTGGAGCTGTGCTTCAATGGGCGAAGTAAAAAACGATGTAAATACTACGAAGTTTCAATAAATACGATCTAACAACGATACTAAAAACTAACATGAATAGCAGTCTATCGGTCCATTTCCTTACTGCAGATTCTTAACACTCTTATTAAGATTAAGATTGTAAAGTGTTAGCGAGCTGATCAATTCGATAAAATTGATAATTATATCTATATCTAAACACTTTTTGAAAATCTAGCATAAAACTATATGCGTGTTCGTCCTACACTACCATAAACCAGTTATTCTTAATCCAACCTAATAATCAAGAAGGCTGTATCTCTAGATAAGCGAGTTTACGAGTTCTAAAATGAAGCTAGTAAATAATTCTATGATCAACAGTACTACTTAGGTATAATATCTATTAGCATAAAAGACTCAGTGAGACTGCGGAGTCACATAAGCGCTGAAGTATTTAAGAATCATTCTAAATAAAAATACATATGGCGTAGTCACATATATTGAATGTATTAGACATAAAATTTAAAGGTCTGTAGTCTCAATATCGCTATCATCAGAGTGATCAACATTGGCAGCTTGAAGTAGCTGTTCAGTCGTAGCAGCGTAACTTGATCCTGAATCAGACACTGTAGTAGTCAGCCCTTCATGATAAACACTAGCAGTTTTTTGCTTTCGCGCTCTCTTGAATTCTTCGATTTTTTCAAGTAATTCCTAATAGATCATTAACATCATCGGTTACCCCAAATTTTAATAATATCACAGAGATTACAAACTACCACTAACCTTCTCTTTACTACATTTCTTGTACATATTACGGCTATTCATTCGAACATCTAAATACTTCGCCAATTTACTTAATAGATCTTTAATTTCTTCAAGATCCTAATCAATATCAATCACACACATCATTTACCTCTCTATTACATCTCCAGTAGTTATTAACAGTTGAAATAGGCAATATCAAACCTGTGCTGCATCTTTATCACCATCATCTAGACTTTCAAGGAACTTTTTCTCTCTTTTCCATGTTCTGATTAATTCTGATTCATCCCTGCGATATCAATTACAATAAAAGTTCATTTCAATTATATTGTACAAGAATTTAATTGGTTACATATAGATGTTTCAGTTGTGCTACACTAGTGTATTTACAAGTATTACATTAGAGTTCACGTTTCTAGTTTAAATATTATTAAATTATCGACCAACAAAATTTTATCATTACTAAAAATGTTATGACTACATGTACAAAGTCTAAATTTTTATACTTCAATATTAGCATCTACAGCAAATAGCGATTACATTCTGGCCACTTTGATACAGTATCGTTTTAAAATCACTACAATAGCTCAAACTTGAAAAAATAATAGCAAAATTCATCTGTGATATTTTATGCCGTACTCTATTTGTAGGTTTGCTACATCATTTAAGGAATGGGTCCTACGCAGAGATTGGTCCAACGAAATTCTAGGAAATAAAATTCATTTTTAAAGATGTCGTATATCAGATGTCGCTTTCGAAAAATAACCAGCTCTAAATATTATGCGGGTGTATCAACCGTATAGCCGCTTAATTAATAGCAACATCAATATTTTAATCACTACCTTTCGGAACACGGCATTGGCATCACGAAGTGACTCTGAGAACGTTGAAGAGCATTAGTTTCGCTAGGTCACAATTTAAAAAGTAACAAAACACTACGTTATTTACATGTAAAAAATAGGTCCATTAATAGATAGTGCTACACTGTACTTATTCATGAATTCAAATATATTTCCTTCGATATATATTTCATATTTCTACAACCTGTCGACAATATGTTTCCTAATTTCTTCACATAACGGTCCAGATTCTTCTGTAGTATCTTCTGGTAGAGGATCTGCAATTTTTACTTCCGTATACAGATGATCATCGTTACTTGCTTTTGAATCAGTGGGAGCATTGATCACTACATTAGCTGGTCCGTCAATTTCTATAAAGATAATTAACTGTCAAGAAAGATGGATAGACGGTCTCTCAAGCGAATCTATATTTACCATGTTCAGATTTCGATTTTTTTACGACCGATACATCAACTCTCGTTACAGATGGTCTAGTTTTTTGTCAAGATACAGACTGGAGTTAAAAATACTTGAAATCTTCACAACATATTATGCAGTTTTCATTTAAAATAAACATCTTGTTGACAAATAATGTCGCCTCTTACGATGTCTTTTGTGGTAATATCATTGATCTATGACTTCTACGACTTTGACGTTGACTCGGTGTTCTGAGAATTACGAAAAAATAAGAAATTCTCACCATGAATACCGTAACCTATTACAAATATAGGCGTCACTAATTATAAAGATTTACCTTTTTACATTCATAGATTGACGAGGAGCTTTCTTTCGCATACTTTGAGCTTGATACAATGTACGACCACTACAAATTATTTCGGATAAATTGATTAAAGACATGAAATTTTAAGTAAACCATTAATAAGTACTAAACCTGAATCTGAAACTGGAGCGTGTTCTAAATAAGCTGAATCTTCTCTTTACAGGGCCATCAGGTATAGTAAGCCTGTTTTTTGAATTTTAAAGATAGACAATCAATAAATAAAGTTAGATACGCGTATTAAAAAATTACTCTACAATATTCTTATCGTATTGTACTAATACACGTATCTATCTACAATAATAAAACTATGTCAAGAAAATCAATCACCTGTAAAAGGAATGTTGCTCAATAGCGCTTTTCCATAAATGTTTACAAGCCTTTGCACTACCCAATTTAAACTCATTTCTAATCTTACTAGAATCCTCCTAAGTAAGCGTTAGCATGAATTATGTTAACGCTATTGCCATACTGATTGATAATGTTTCAGTTACCGGCAATGAAATATGTAATACACAACTTACTCCTTCCCCTTTGGCGACAATTATAAATTTCTTCCCTTTAAATTCTAAATTAACAATATTTGGCCTATATTGTAGAAAGAATTAGAAACTTATTGGAAAAAAATTTCTAAAATGATTCTAATCGATAGAAATTGGTTATACAATAATTACCAGTAAAAAAATTCAATTCTAATGGATCTTCGAAGAATGATAATTCCATTAGGTGCCAGACCAATTTCTAAATCTCCCTAAGTTGACAAATTAGATTATTTAAAATTATTATCACAATATCTAGGTTATAATTTTTGCTTATAAAAATGTGTCTTACCAAAATATAATGTAAATCAACACCATACATATCAATTGTTTTCGCAATGGTAAGAAAATTTTTCTCAGCCTCTGCCGGTGTCTGGCCCCTGTGGAATGCAACAATAAAAGATATTAGTATCGCTACGAGGCAAAATTTCACTTTAGAACATGGTGTAGTAAGCAAGATACATTATAAAGGTAGAGTATAAATCGTGTTGTATATCTGATAAAGGTTTTCAATCTCCATACTAGACATACGTGCATAAATCTTGCTCGATTATAGTTTAATGTTGTAAATGAATTATTTTAACTTATTTGATAAAAATGGAGAAGAGATAGTATTCTGACGTCTAAATTACGATATCTCTATTTTGACTCACTCGCATAATTTGTGATAATCCACAATTTGGGCTTCTATTTCTTCAGTCTATAAGGTTAATTGATAAATTACTAATTAGAGTACAAAGAACGTCTAATAAAGTGGAAAAACAATTTATATCCCTACGGGAAATCTATGATTAAGACTAAGTTTAAAAACGTTTTAAACAAAAAATTATCTATACAATGTACCTGTATCATTTCAGGAAGAAAGCGAAATTCAGAGACGTAGCCCTCTGTATGCACCTCTTCATCAAAGTCGCCAAGTTCAGCTGTAAAAATTTAATTAGGTTAGTCATTATCATCTTCCTATCTAGACTAAATATGCCCCAGTTAGTATAGCATCTAGAATGTAACACATCGTTGATAAGGTTTAAATCAGGAAATTAAACTACGACAGTTCTTATTACATTGCAAAACGTATCCAGCAAGTTTGGTTAAGGTATCAGTTGGACATTCAAGCCTAAAGAAAAGATTTAAAGTTTTTACAATAGATAAAAATATAAATGCAAAAAAATAGTATCATAAAGACCTTATTGCTTACCTTCCATAGAGTATTTCATTACGAATATGTTGGTAAAACAAATATCTAAAAATTGATAGAAGGTATTAGTCACAAGCTAATTACTTACTTCTCCAATATAAAATTGGTATAAATTGATTTTATTATCGTATTTTCAAATAGATATATAAACATTGATGATAATATGGCAAACTTTTAAGCTAGATGAAGGATATAATCGTATGAGACGAAATGGATGGTATAAAATCTAGTACTTAGTAACTTCTTCTTGAAGTTCATCAGGATTTGCAATACTGTATTTCACTAGAAATCGCATAGAAAATGGTGGACCAACTGTAAAAGAAATCAACAAACGATTAAATTTCTTCTAGAAAGAAAGAATTATAGGGGTATTCATTGGCTGTCTGTAACCGTTCTATTTAATTTTTGTTTATGAATAAAAGATAACCAAAAATTAGGATTGATGTTACTTCACCAATTTGTTTGTATTGCATTAAGCTAACGATTAACTTACTAGGCACTTGTTTTCTAATTTTCTTGGTAGGATCAACCCAATGCTGTTGCGCATAGAGGGAAAATTATATTTTAAAAATTAAGGGATAAGTTAATGTATAATCTATGTAGATCCATTTTAATTCAATTGATTATAGCATATAAAGGTATTAAATAGCGGACAACAAGATCGATTTTCTACATGGCATCCATAATAAAGAAATGTAGTAATTGTAACCTATAGGTGTTGTAAGAAGAAAGTATTTTAAATAGAGTAGATTTCAATCTTACCGTCACTTGAGCTGAATCTGTGTAGGATAGACCAAAATATTCCTTTTCTTCTAAATCTAAATCCTGACACGCAGCATCGTAGACTTCTTGCCCTCTGGCACTTTTCTAAAGTAATAAATAAAGGATAAATTTACGTACTTTGATTGAGTCTGTGATCGCTAAGAGAGTAGTATTTTTTACATCTCTCCAATGGGTACTACAATCCATACTACGATCGTGAAATCAATCTCGATACAAGTCTCCTGTAGAATAGGCCAGAAGTTGATTTTAAATCAGCACATAATAGTAGATTATCCTGCTTTGCTTTTCAATATTTGCAATCGCTTTACAGGCATGAAAAATCAATATCAACGCAATTCCAGAGTTGGCTTTGTCGATTTTGTGCCACTAGATATGACATCATCTTATTTTACTATTCAATATTCATCATTACTGATATAGCTGCATTTTTATAGCTCTCAATCGATACTACGGTCAGAAATTTAATTTCAAGTCAAGCATTGGCCATGCTAATGGTTAATAGTACATAGTAGTACATCGTCCTATCTTATTTGTTCATATTCGTAAATTGACCATGTTAATTGATTTTTATACCTGCGTCTACATCATCCTATTTTGTTTTTCGATAATTTAGATGTGACCACAAAGTGGTATATACTCGTGAGTTTATAGATCCAAATAATGAAAGCATGACAGGGTACTAGAATAAATTCTATCTGTTTCTATCATGATTTTCATTATTTTTACGTTTCTAGCATAAAATTATAAGATAGCCATCATCACGTTATCATTCTCACTTTTCTACCTATCCATAGATGCAATCATCCAGGATAGTAAAGTTGATCAAACAATATAATCAACTATTGTATACGGATTAAGTTACTCCACGACATGATAGTAGTTAAAAATAATAATAAAGATTATCATTGTTCTCAAAGATCTACGTCTATAAGAATATCGCAAGGCGACCGCAACAATTTCATTTCTAGCTATGAGTTTAGTACTATCCTATCCAGAATGGAGAGGAAAGCACACTATACTTGAAATTGAGTGATATTATGACTCCCCTTTAGAATAACCAATATTGATCTACTGCTAAAAATGTAATTGATCTTTGCTGGAAAGGTAAAATAAAGGGCCGATCTATAGTATATGTCTTTTCTACCTCCATGTTCTTTACTGATAGAGCTAACTGTAACCTGCAAGCTAAAATAGATCGTATTTCATGTAGAATGTTTATTGTATTACGACAAGATGTGAGAATTATTTAAACTTATTGTGAAATGATGAAGGAAAATAGGAGTAGAAATTCAGAGTACACTGCCATCTGGATAACAAAATGGCATAACAGTAACAAAGAATTGGGTGTCAAAAATGGTTGAATTCATTGTAACAAGGAGAATGGAATAGAAATGCAAAAAATAAATCCATTGAATCCCTAGGCAAGATTTAACGACAATGACAGGACAGAAGAATGATTTAAATTCAATCTAAGAAGAAAATAGGAATAGAAATGGATAGTATATTGAATGCAAACTACATCGTGAGAATAGACGAACACAATTTAGAATGAGGACAATGCGCGAACCCTTGTCTGCTTTTGCAGGGAAGTTTAGCTCTGGCAACATGGCAGTTTTTATTGGTATCTTATGTGGAGAAGGATATTGAATAAATTGCCTACAAGTTGGACCATTTATACGTATGGTATTTATTGCTTAGGCTAAATCATGCCAAGTGGGGGAAAAAATGGATCAGTCGTTCTGAGTGTGATACCTCTACTACTGTAAATGATACTTGAAAAGAAGCGTAGTCCTATTCCTATGTCGCCATTTTTTCTTGCTATTCGTTCTATTATTGTGTTTAGTACGTTAGCAAGAAATAGCAATCATGTTTTGAGCTAAGGCAATACGTCCATAGACGTTGAAGAAATACATCAAAAGAAAGTCAAAAACTGCTAAAAACGTACAGTACTCTACTGCCAAAATAGTTATACTGTAGTAAGGGAATAAGCACGATCCCATTTTTTTTCCATAGCAACACGCCTCTATTAAAATAAATCTTGGAAATCTTTTTTCAAGAGAAAAGTAAAATCCCTAGAGATTTCGCTGTATGGACCAATTGGATATTTTCCAGCATTATCGTAGAATAATAGCAATATAACCCATGTTGATAAGTCATTAACTATGGCCGCATGCATTTGCACACCATGTGAAAAGTATCCTAGATCAGGGATTTTTAAGAGTAATTCAGAGTTTCTCTTAGAAGTTCCTGCCTAGATGTTGAAATTTTTTTTTTCAAAAAATTGCAGACATAACCGAATAGTGTATTGCCTAACGCCTTGCATGACTTAAGTCATCATGCTGGAATACCAGGTGTGCAGTCATAAATATTCGATATAACAGAGTAAGTAGTTCATGCTTTAACACATGGCTCAATTCATCATGAAGAATACACGAATACATTTAATTAAGAGAGTAAACCCTAAGGAATAAAAGTCTATCAAATTTATCGAGGTATCGCCATGTTATTGAGCGATATTCGACGCCTACTGTACTTCAACAGTGCATGGCTAGGCTGGAAAACTTACGATCAAAACATAATGGATCAATTTAATGATTTTTCCGCCCTAAATTAATCTATGTATCAAGGGTGGAAATAGTTGGAGTTTACATAATTGCATAATTAATTTATTTATTAGCGCGTAGGAACCCTAATAAAAAAATGAGTTAATACGGCATGATATCGATTGTCCAAGTATGACTTGTTTTCAACACTAGATTGAAGAAACTACTTGGTTGTGAAAAGATGTTGAATAGCATTTTACAAACGCAAGTGGAGTTAGCATACCATTATCTTTAATTTAAAACTGCACTGAAGAAATTGCTTGATGAAAAGATCTCGAATATTCGTATACTAAAAGTAATCGGACTCGCTAGGTAACGTGTGCTGCATATTTGAAAATGCAGCACACAAACTACATGGCGATAAAAAGATATATTAATTTACCAAGGCAATGGAACTACAGTTGTTAGTTAATTATTACGAGGACGGTAGATGCTCCATTTGAAAAATTGGACAAGGAAACTACATGGGTGATAAAATGATGTTGAATATCCTTTTACCATTGCAATAGAATGAGTAGTCAACTGTCTCTAAGTTAGAAATACAAGTAGATAGAACTGATAGACAGCTTGACTAAACATTTCTTGCTTTTAAAGTGGAAACAAAAGTGAATGTAAATTGCCATCTCAGCTACCATTTCCCCTTCATCCTTTCCACTCAAGCTACTGTAGCCGTAGGGTAGTCCGCACAATTTGAATCAAGTTCATATTACTATAAAAATAAAAATTATGGATGATTTCACAGACTCTTCATCCAATGTGGAAAGAGCGAATGCTGTCTTTACTGGTTAACCTGAACGACGCCATTGAAACATTTTGCAATGCAATGGAAAAATCGGAGAGAGATACTTCGCTACCTTACGACATTCTACCCTCAGTATCAATGGACAATCTATAATTAATTTTAGATAGCAATATAGAAAATTTGGAGCCATTGATCCTACTCTATGCGTAGACGATCTCAATTGTTGCATAAGAAAAGAAAAGAATTGCATGCAACATTTACAATTTGATGTAGTCGTCGGGCGTCGTTGTTTCTGCCTCTTTTTTTTCTCATTAATAAACTGTGTACAATAAATAGCCTTGATCCTTGGCTATGTAACTTATTGCATCGATTGTTATTGAATGAATGCAAATAGTCTAAAGTTAAGAAATTCAACTATCCTGTCTTATCCGAAAACACTCGTTGCGTTTTGCTTGCCCATCTTGGCTACGCTATTGCAAACGCGTACAAGTAATTGAATCATGTTGTCTTGTCTAAACATTGCTTCTTTTTGAATACAGTAAGATAAAAATAGCTCTGTGGGAGAGTTTATTGTAATCCTACAAGCACCATGATGCAGCACGATATCATTCATCCATGGCTTATTGTAGAATCGTTTTTAATTACAACAAGAATAATGTCTGTATGACTATCATGAAAGCAGGCCATGATGGCTCTACTTTGATATTATCCTCATGGCATTAAAGTTGATAGGTATACAACAAAGATTGAGTGGAACAGTTTAGTATTCATCACTATTGGCGATAGCATTTCATCATCATCATCACAAATAAATACTGTAGTTTTTATTATTGATCTTTCTCCATATTGCAATAGAAACTGCAGGCATATAGCTACTGTAACATCTTGCACTACAATTTAAAAATAATAATGATCATCATTGTGGTCCGACCCGTTGTCAATAATCTTTTCATACAGTTTTCAAGAGTCATATAAGATTCTCAAAAAATCAACAAGGATTAAAATTAAATCATCGTAGCCAATAGATTGTAGATTTGCTGTCGTTTTCATCACGTTGTAGGATTCAAAATCACCAAGAATTGTCAACGAATTTTTATTCGTTGACTCAAAGTAGCAACGATGGCGATATTACTATCAGTTATCTTCATGGATCCAATTATTGTATAGACAAATTAGTAGAAAGGAAGATGTTGAGATAGTCCTTTCGTCATAGTGTAGTTTTATCCGATGGAAAAAATGGAACTCCGTCGATGAAAACATAGAACAAGGAGGAATGAATATTGTAAATTAATTAATCAAAAGACAGTGCATATATTCGATATGCCTTCTTTTCTACGATATTATGTTATGTACAGTATATCGACAGGAAATAGAGTTCAAGACGGTGCAATCTTAATCAAGTGATGACGGGGCTCAATCTTAATGAACAGCTCCTCCTTCCTGCAATTCTACTACTGCTAAATTCCCAATGTAAAAAAAAAAGGCGCATGATCGTGGATTGACTAGTATTGAGATGAATTTAGGGAGGGTTATTTTAGAATTTAGGTTGGATTGCATAGGAGAAGGAACCAGCTTACTGTTGCCTATTCTGTTGAAATGATGTCCTAAGTACGGATAATTGATTGATTTTATTTGTTGGTTTCCTGCAAGACTTGCGTCGATGAGCTTATCTAACGCGATTAGTAGATAAAAATAAACCAATCACTCCTACAGTCGATAACGTTTTTCCCAGGCGATTTGAAAACAGATTGATATGACTGTATGTTGGATAATGATCGAAGGGAATATATTGACCGATAGCAAGTTACTTTATAACCATAGCGCAGGCAGTTGCTGTCTTT